CACAAAGGGATAGATTCTTTTTCCATTTTCCTCATTCATTATCCAACTTTCAGATGCAAAGGAACCAAATAATAATACCATGCCTTGAGTCAGGTGTGCCTTAGTCTTTAAACTGACATCCATCCTTCTAAAGAGGACCTTGATAGATTTGCCCAATGCAATATATCTTTTGATTTCTTGACTGCTGCTACTATGAAAATCTATTATAGATCCAAGTAAAATGAAATGCTAAAAATTCATTTTAGAGAGCAAAATTCCTCAGCAAGCAATAAAGCAGTAGTCACTCAAAGAAGCACTCTTTTCATTATTATGTTGTTGTGTACTGTCAAGTCAGAACCGACCCATAGCTGACCCTCCAGTGGGTTTTCAGAGGCAGCAGATCACACAGGAGGAGACAGTCCATTTTTACCCAGTGGAGCAGCTGGAGGATTAGCAGCTTTGTGTTGGCAGTACAACTCCTTACCATTAAGCCATCAGCATTCCTTTGTAGTTATATTGTGCTGCTATTTATTCTCTTACCGTTGGTTAAGAAGTCCAAATTCTGGGTGCTAACTCTAGGGGAAAGCACTCCCTCCCAATCGATCTCTGCTTTTCTTTCTTCCTCTTGGGTGTGGAGGGAAGTCTGTATTTCCTTCAGCATCTGTAGGCCAGGTATTCCTTGGAGACTTCCATGTATCCTGACCCTCCTCAGTGTCATGTCCTCCCCCAATTTCCTCTGGCAAAGACCTAAATCCAAGAGAATGCACGTGACTCTTGACAATTTTTCCTTGGTAGTACTGAGGGTCCTTTCTCTGCCTGTGCTCTTCCACCCTTTTATCTCTAGTGAGAGAAAAGGTATTAAATGCCATACCCTAGGGAAATTCCCCTAGATTAGGGTTGTGATGAGATTAAGGGGCACTGCATTCTACTATTAATTATTGATTTAGCAGATCATGGGGGGCCACATTATATCATTACACACATTGGAGACATAATTCCATGATAGTCATTGCAGTATGTCCCTGAGAGAAATAATGTTCCCCATTTTCTTTGCTGCTGGCTATTCTTTCAGCTCAATAAATAGTAGGGGGATGTCTTTTTGTTTATGTTTTTTCATGTGGGTTTTTTAACAGTCCAAGCTACTTTTTGTATTCTCTTTTCTTTTGAGAAAAGAGTAAAGATGGGTGATGGGTCTCAAGTTTCTAGTTTGAGGCACTGAAGGGATAGGGTAAGCTATTAATGGAGATAAGGAAGGTTATGGAAGGGTTAGGGGTGAGCAGGAACTCAGTTCTAGATGTTTTAAACTTGAGAAGCCTCAAACACGTGGTAATGGTAAGTAGTCAGTTTACATAAGAGTGCAGATCAACTTCCTATCTCCATACATGCCTGCGCTGGCTCAGTTCACTATTTATAGTTTATGGCCTATTAAAAACTAGATAGTTTATCTTTTCATATATACGGCATCTTGGCGTTTGCTGCCAGGAATACTGTCTCATCGCTTCTCAGCCTTTTGGCTAATAGCAAGTGTAGGAATACTGTCTCTTCATTTGCTAATCTCTACTTCTGGATATACTTGGTGTGCAAGTGAAAGTTGGGCAAATCTGAATAAGGATGACAGAAGAATCCATATCTTTGAGTTGTGGTGCTCGAAATTTGTAATGAATATTCCATGGAAGACAAAAAGAACAAACAAAACTATATGCTGGAAGAAGTGCAACCAGGCAAGGATGGTAAAGCTTGTCTCACATACTTTGGGCATGCTGTCAGGAGGGACAAGTCGTTAGAAAAAGACATGCTGGGCCGGGGCCGAGCTCTGGCAGCCCTGAGCTTCTGGAGGTGTGGCTGGCGTGCAGGCCAGCATAGCGAGGATGGTGGTCACGGTGGACGTGTACCAGGTGTACAAACACCCCTTCGAGCAGGTGGTTTCCAGCTTTCTCCGAAAGTATCCCAACCCCATGGATAAAAATGTCATCTCTCTGAAAATAGTTGAAGAAAAAAAGAGATATACCCACAGGAACCATCTATAGGATAAGGACTGCAGTGTGTCAGAATGCGATTCCAGAAATTTTAAGGAAGTTGAGCATTTTAAAAATACCTAATATCCAATTAGAAGAGGAATCATGGCTCAACCCTCAGGAAAGCAGCATGGCTATACAGAGTCACTGCCTTACATGGACACAGTACGCATCCATGAAGGAAGAGTCAGTCTTCTGGGAAAATGTGGAAAATCCAAATTGGACAGAGTTTCTTCAAAGAGGCAGGATTTCAATCACTGGGGCTGGATTTCTCAATTGTATTTTGGAAACTTTTGCCAGCACGTTCTTAAAACAAAGTGCCCAGAAGGGAATTAGAATAATGTAGAAGCTGCTAAAGGATGGTGGTGCCCCTTTAGCCGAATAAAGAATCATCAGTGAGCAGTGCCCGGGCTTACACTCTCTCAAGAATAACCTCTTGGCCATCGCACATCAGAGATGAAGATTCTGAAATACAGATTTGATGATGCAACATCGGCACCTTGAAGAAAAGGAGACTTTCCACCAGGACATGAAGTGATACCTCGCCCTTTACGTGGAAGCCTGCCCGGAGAATGCCTAGCTGGATTTCACAGCAGAGTGTCTAAATGATTTTACAAATAAAAGAAACCCCTTATCAAAAAAAGAAAGAGAGAAAGAAAAAGACATGCTGAGAAAGGTGGTGGGTTAGACAAAGAGAGGAAGACCCTCAAGAAGATGGACTAATACAGTGACTGTATCAAGCGGCTCGAATATTATCACAGATGGTGAGAGAGGCACAGGACAAGGCAAGGTTCAGATCTGTTGCTGACAGGGTCACTATGAGTCGTAGTCGACCCGATGACACCAACTACGTGTGGATGAAAGGAGAGACCTAGGATGAAAGGAGAGACCTAGTCCGTAGAGCGTTGGCTGTTCAAATGCAGCAAACTCTTCCCTTGCGATACACAGCCTCTAAAAAACTAGTGGAGATTTAGCTAAGACTCGGTTCCCGACTCCATGGCAATGAAATGAATGGCTGAACTAGTCAGCCGGTTAGATTCAGGATCCGCCCCCTTGCGAGCCCTGCCCCGCGCATGCACTCACTAGTAGACGCTCACAGGGTTGTCTGTATCCTTCCAACTACAGTTTTGAGTTGTTGTTGTTGTTGTGTACCATAGAGTCTCCCAGAGCTGACACCCTGGCGGGTTTTCAGAGACAGTTAATTGCACAGGAGGTGAAGGCCCATCCTTCTCCCGCCGAGCAGCTGGTGTCCTTGAACTGCGTGCCTTCGGGATGGCAGCACTGCTTCTTGCCACTAGGCCTGAAAGCTGATGTTCACACCTGGTTTTAGACTTCTCCAGGTGCTCCAGGATTTTTTGTACATAGGGTTTTCAGAGGCCTGCTATTTCAGACATGGATGGCCAATCCTTCTTCCTAGTCTGTCTTAATGTGAATGTTCAGATTTAGAGAAGTATCAGACAGACCAGCAAGTTAAAGGTATATCCCTTATTGCGGCGTTAACTTTAGTGTCAGTGTTGTCCCTGCCTTTCTCACACGCGTCTTTACCCACTTATTTCCCTGCTCCACCATCCACCAGGATACCCATCCACTTCTACCCCCTCCCTTCACATCTATCTCCCTTTGACCAGCCTTCCATCTAACAACTTATATATGAGGCTTCCATGGCTTCTGTGATTCTCACCACTGGACCAATTGGCAGCATCAGGATGGATGGTGAAGAGATTGAGATTGTACGCAGCTTTAGTTTGCTTGGCTCCATAGTCAACAGTCTTGGCACCAGCGAGTAGGAAATTAAAAGGCACACTGCCATGGGAAAGTCTGCTGTTAGGGACCTCTCCAAAGTACTGAAGAGCAATGGTGTCTCTCTGGAGACTAAGGTGCGTCTGATACAGGCCATGGTCTTCGCAATCACTTGTTATGCATCAGAGAGTTGGACAATGACCAGGGAGGATAGAAGGAGAATTGATGCCTTTGAGCTGTGGTGCTGGAGAAGAGTATTGAGAATACCATGGACTGCTAGGAAAACAAACAGATTTGTCCTGGAAAGGGTTAAACCGGGTGGCTCCTTGGAGGCAAGGATTCTGAGGCTCCGTCTAACATACTCTGGACATGTTGTGAGGAGAGACCGGTCCTTGGAGAGGGACATCATGCTTGGGAGGGTGGAGGGACAGCGCAGGAGGGGAAGGCCCTCTATGAGGTGGATTGATTCAGTGACTGGGATAATTGGGATGGGAGTGTCAGAGACAGTGCGATTGGCACAGGACAGAGCAGAGTTTAGGGCTGTTGTACATAGGGTCTCTATGAGTCACAGGCGACTCCACGGCACATAACAACAGGTGCTCCAGAGCCCGCCCCTCCCTTGCCCTCAGCGCCTCCGCCTACCTCATCGGATGACCCGAAGCGTTATGTCACGTGCGTTAGTGTAGAGGCCGTACTACGTGCCCCAGACGTCACCAGCCACGCCCCAGTCACGAGGTGAGTGCGGACAGTTGTCCGAGTAAAGCGGTCACCCGGTGCCTTGACCTTTATCACAGGCTGTAATACCATTTCTGAGCTTGCGCCAACTAAGTGGATTGGCTCGTCAACCTTCTTAGGCTCCACCCTGCCCGCTTACAACGGGGTGATTGACAGGGCGGATAGCCAGCCTGAATGGCAGCCAAAAGCGAGGCGAGGAAGTAATGGCCTTACCTGGTAAAACAATACACGTATGTAAGCCCAGTGAATGATAAAAATGTAGACTGACCAACCACCACCAGGGTTCACCAATGCAGCTTTCCAAAGGTGTGTACCTTTAATTGAGGCTCCGCCTGTCTTGAGGCTGCGCCCCGCCCCGTAGCCCTCATTGGCCGTTAAGGCTGCCTGGAAGTCCTGCGATTGGCCAGACTAGCGCTCCGCCGCGTCCAGTGGGTAGTGGCGGCGGATTTCCCGCGTCTGTTTCTATTCGAACTTGGCGACGGCGGCCGCAACAGTTGAAGTGCTTAACGGTCGCCTGACTCCAGTGCAACAATGGCAGCCTTAGGCCCCGGAGGCTACGGGCGGAACGATGCACTTGAGAAACTGTCGTCTGTCGGAGCGGGGATTCCTGCGCGGAGGGGCCAGTCCTCCCCGCCCCCCGCCCCACCGCTCTGCCTACGGCGGCGGACGCGACTCACAGCAGCACCAGAAGACACAGTGCAGAGCCGGGTGAGAAACTGCCCACCCTACCCATCCTCGTTCTGGGCTTCCTGAGCCTACCCTGGTCCCGCCCCCAGACCTTTCTCCCAGCCTATCAGCCCCGGGCTGGTCCTCACTGTCCCCGCCTCGTCCCTTAAGCCCCGCCTCCTCGGCAAAGTCTCGCCCTTTCCCCCCCCAGAAAATGGGATTGCTGTCTATTTTTGTAGCCCTCCCTCCCAATCCTGATCCATTGCGGGCCCTTGGAACCCCCGGGATTCCTTTTGGGTTTTGATGCTCGTCATCTCGCACGTCTCAGCTCAGTCTCCGCTTGATGTCTGTCTGTTTTGTTGGCCCGCCCGGCTGACTCTGCTAAGTAGGATTTCTGCTAAGTAGACCTGTGGTGCAGTGGTTAGAAGTAGTTTGGTTACTAACCAAGAGTTTTTATTTTAGAACCTTTGCTCTAAGTGAGAAACAAGCGACAGTCGGCTTTTTAAAAGGTTTTTTCTTGTTTCATGTTAATCCCCCCCACTTTATTTTATACTGATTTACTTATGAAGTTCATATACATTATTTTTCACACCGGATCTTTTCCATTTCCTTACCCATCCCTCCCTCCATCCTTCAAATTGTGCGACCATATGATTCACACACACACACACACCGCCATTCCTCACTCCTCTGCTCTCTCGCTTGGCTCCTAACACAAGTTCTGCAATAATGGCCTTATAGAGTATTTGCCCTTATGGGACTGAGTTCACTTTGTATATGCTTTCCAGTTAAAAGATTGCTGTTGTTATGTACCTTCAAGAAACGACCCCATAGCTGACCCTTTAGCAGACTTTCAGGGCCAGTTAATCGTAGAGGAGGAGATTGCCCATCTTTCTCCGAGCAACTGGTGAATTCGAACCACATGCCTTAAGATTGGCAGCTCCTTACCACTTGCCACCAAAGCTTCTAAAGATTACAGACTTAGAAACCCTATGGGACAGTTCTTTACTCTCTTGCAGTCACTCAGAGTTGAAATTGGCTCCATAGCAGTGAATTTGTTTTGAGTACCATGGTTCTGAGTTCCTGCTTGGAGCCAGTAACTTGCTGGGCTACTTACATGAAGGTGGGAAGTTCAAGTCAGCCAGACTCCTTGGGAAAAAACTCTGTGACATACTTCTCAAAAAACTGTGTGGAGTCTGAGGCTTTTGTCCTTTGAACTTGGCCTGGCTTGGAGGTCACCATATATCCAAATAATAGATTTGGTTTAAAATAAACTGTATTTTAAAAAACCCAAAACAACTATATCAACAGTGAATATTGTGCTTCTTAAATAATTAACTATATGAGACCAAAAGACCAATACTTACCCTAAAACAAATGAGAAGATAAAAAAGGGCCTGGAAAGTGTTAGGTTAACAGACTTGAAGAAGAAATCAGATATAACAAGAGAAAGCTTAATGCAGCTTTATTAAAGGGGAGGGGAGAGCTCCCAGGTGAATTCCTCATGCAGAATGGAAAGTCACACTGTGAATTCATTGGGGAAGATTTTTATAAACAGAGTCTTTAGGGAGGGACATTCCACTCTGATTTACGAGCCACCTGCTAGCTCAGCTAGACAGCAAGGCTGTTTGAGCTTCTTATCAGCAACAGGCAAGGCCATCAGCAGTTGCAAGGCCATCAGCAGTTGCGTTCTAAATGCTTCATTCTTCTCTTTGGCCCCTTTTGCCTAGACTTAACAGAAAGCTATATTAAAGGAATAACATGAATGTAGACACATTAAAAAATGTGTTCAATTTCATGTAACATTTTGTACGGACATTTTCAGAGGGGAACTCAATATACAGTTTAAATCTTAATCTAAAAGACAATAAAATTAAGAAAAACAGTAAAAACAACAACCCCTTGGAGTAGTTCTATAGTGACCTTCATGAGTTAGAATCACTTCACTTTTTTTTTTAAAGAAAAAAAACCAAACCAAAACACAGCAAAAAAAATCCAGAGTTTTAGTCCAGAGTCCTACTACCTTAATTGTTTTTCTCATCTTTGCTCAGCCTTCTTTCACTCCTAGCTTCTCCTTTTCTTTACCAGGTAGGAGTCTTACTCTGTATTGCCACTCAATATAGAAATAGAAAAAGGATGTGCATAATAGTTATAAAATCACAAAGTATCAGCTCCAAGGGGAGGGAGTAATCTTAGAGTAAATAGAAGGAGTTCCATTAGGATAGCATCAGTTTAAGATTTGTAAAATAGAGATGACATTATAAAAGTGACCTGCTTGGCACAGTGCTTAATTAAAGATGGGCTAAAAAAACAAAACAGTTGCTGTGAAGTCACTTCCAGCTTGCAGAGATGCTATGTGTTTCAGAGTAGAACTGTGCTCCATGCCAGGCCTTTCTTCAAGACACCTCCAGGTGATTTTGTTCACTTAAATGGTTATGTCACCCAAGGACTCCCTGGTACCAGTTGGTGAAACCTGCTCCTTTTCATTGCCTTTATGCCGCGCACTCTTATCCCCACTTCTCCTTCAAAAGCCCAGGCAAGTGCCCCTTCCCCGCCTCTGGTTGTAACACCTTTCTCGCCAAGGTCTAGGTAGCCTGCCAGTCTTCTTTGTGTCTACCTGACACTCCAAGTTCTTTCCTGCCTCGTGGCTTTTGTGTTTAGTGAGTCCTCAGACAGGTGGCTTCCCCCCCCCCCCCCCCCACGTTCTGCTTGTTTGGCTTTTTCTCATCCCAAGAGACTTAGCTTGAATATCCCTGCTCTGAGAAATTTTCCTGAACTGCATTCCATAGCAGACATCCACCATCATAGTCAGCCATCCCTCTGTTCTTCATAATCTTTTCCTTGAAAGTCCCTGAAAACACCTTGTAAGCTCTTAAATTACATACTAATGCAGGGGAATGACATTAGCAATTTCAGAGAAGCAGTATCCATAACAAAGGGGTTAAGAACTTTAAGTTCTAAACCCAAAAGCTCAGCTTAAGCTTTCTTTCCTTCCTGTCAAGTTACATTGAATGTGCAGAACTCTATCATACTATCTCCAGCCTCATTTCTCTCACCGAGCCCTTATTTTCCAGCTACTGAACTTTCTTCTCTGTTCCCAACTTTTGCGTTTCAGTCGCCCATTATTATCAATGCATCTTGATTGCATGTTTGATCAACTTCTGACTGCAAAAGTTGGTAAAAATCTTCTATTTCCTCCTCTTTGGCTCTAGTTGTTGGTGCATATATTTGAATAATAGTGGTATTCACTGGACTTCCTTGTATGGGTATGGATATTATCCTATCGCTCACCACATTGTATTTCAGGATGGATCTAGAAATTACTTTTTTAATTATGAAACCAACCCCATTTTTTCCTCACCTTTTCATCCCCAGCATAGTAAATCATATAATCGTCTGATTCAAAATGTCCCATGCCAAGCCATCTCATTTTGCCTATACCTAGTATGTCAATATATATGTGTTCCATTTCTTTCTTAACAATGTCCAGTTTTCCTACATTCGTGCTTCTCACGTTCCATGTTCCAATCTGGGCAAATTGGCAGCATCAGTATGGATAGTGAAGAGATTGAGATAGTTAACAATTTTAATTTACTTGGCTCCACAGTCAACACTCTTGGTAATAGCAGCCAGGAAATCAAGAGACAAATTGCATTGGGAAAGTCAGCTGTGAGGAACCTCTCAAGAGTACTGAAGAGCAACGATGTTAGACTGGAGACTAAGGTGCACCTGATCGCAGTTATGTGCTATGCGTCAGAGAGTTGGACAGTGAATAGGGTTGATAGAAAGAGAATTGATGCCTTTGAGCTGTGGTGCTGGAGAAGAGTGTTGAATATACCATGGACTGCTAGGAGAACAAACAGGTTTGTCCTGGAGAGGGTGAAGCCAGAATGTTCCCTGAAGTCAAGGATTCTGAAGCTTCGTCTGACATATTTTGGGGTCCTTGGAGAGGGACATCATGTTTGGCAGAGTGAAGGAGAGGAAGACCTTTGATGAGATGGATCGATTCTGTGACTGGAGAGGTGGGAATAAGTGCGTTTGAGATGGCTAGGTTGGCACAGGATAGAAGAGCGTATAGAGCTCTTGTCCATAGGGTTGCTATGAGTCACAAGCGACTCGATGGCACATAACAACAAGTTACAAACTTTTCTATGTTCTAATCTTATTTGTGAAATAAGGATAATAATATTTGTACACAGAGGAAGACCCTAGAAGAGATGGAGTGACACAGTTACTGTGGCAATGGGGTAGGTGTGTCAGAGACAGGGAGATTGACTCAGAATAGAGCAGAGTTCAGAGCTATTGTTCATAAGGTCACTGTAAGTTGTAGTTGACTTGATGGTACCTAACAACATAGGGTATTTATAAGGATTAAATGAATCACTATATCGTGTGCACTTAGAAAAATGCCTGACACATTACAAATACACCAGCTTCCATTATTAATGTATTTTGTGTACTATTGTTGCTAGGTGCCACTGTAGCATTTACAGCAGACCGAAATACAGCCTAGCCCTGTGCATCCTCACAAGCTTTGCTGTGTTTGAGCCCTTTGTGGCTGCCACCTTTTTGAGGCTTTTCCTCATTTGTTGACCTTTTTTTGTTGACTTAGTATAGTGTCCTTGGGTACTGGTACCTTTTAATAACATCCAAAGTATGTGAGACAAGGTTCCATAATCTGTCAAGGATTGTTCTGGCTCTGCTTCTTCCAAGGCAGACGTGTTTGTTCATCTGGCAGACCACAGTATATTCAATATTCTCTGCCAACACCGTGATTCATAGACATCAGTTTTTCTTCAGTCTTCTTTATTCATTACATATTTATGAAATGATTGAAAATACCGTAGTTTGAGTTAGGTACACCTTCATCTTCAAAGTGACATCTTTGCTTTTTAACTTTAAAGAACTCTTCTGAAACAAATTTGCCCAATATAGCAATCTTTTGATTTCTTATCTGCTGCTTCCATAGATTTGGGATTTTTGTTTTTTGTTTTTTGGTTTGTTTTTTTTTTTTTTTTAGTTTGAAGTTCTTTTATTCTCTTTTCTGAATGCTTTTCACAAGGAAATGTGCTTCCTTGGTGGGGGGAATTGAACCCTGGTCTTCCACGTGACAGACAAGAATATTCACCACTGTACTAATAAGGATAGCTTCCATAGGTTGTGATTATGGATCCAAGCAAAGTTTTGATTATGCATCCAAGCAAAAAAAAATCTTTGACAATTTAAATCTTTTCTCCATGTATTAGGATTTTTACTGGTTAGTTGTGAAAATTTTTTGTTTTCTTGATTTTGAAATATAATCCTACTTTATTTTTCATCATAGGTATCATTGTTTGTTTGTTTTCCCTAAATCAACTGGTTTTCAAAAGGTTCATTCTCAGAATGACCAGTCATAAAAATGATCCAGCAGTCCAGTAATATTGATTGTTGGATGAAATAGTTAAACTGCCTGGCTGCCTGGTATAATTTTGGCTCTGTTCCTTCCTGAATGGGTGATCCTGGGCTATAATTACTTAACCTCTCTGGGCTTCTGTTTCCTCTAAGGATGATAGGGACTGAATCACAGGGTTCTTCTAACTATTATCAACTGATTAAATAAGTTAATACAGTTATGGATATTTTAATAGTACCTGACTAAGTAAGTACAATAAGCTTTAGTGAGTTCTACTGTTTGTTTCCCTTCTTTCCCTTTTTACTGTGAGTTAAGTGAAAGTTTGCAAAGGTTTTCCATTCAGCCACACGTTTTATTTTATGACATTGATTGCACCGTCCACAATGTAATTACATTTCTCCCACATCCTCCCTATGATTCTGGTGCCCATCAATCCTTTTATCCTACTTTTCCCTAATATCTGAACTTTACCCCTGGGCAGATGTTCCCCTTTTGATCTTATGTGGTTGAGTAGCCTGGGGAATGAGAGTGTTTCCCTTCTATTATTTGTTTCCCTTCTGAGCCTGTATTTTTTGACTGTGGGTTGAACCGTAGGGGTGGCTGGTTTTGTTCCAGCTTTGAAGGGTGACTAAGGGCATCTCTATCTGTCTCTAGGTCCAAGAAGCCTGGCCATTTTTATGTTTATTATTTCATTGCACATTTCACCCTCTCTTTGGTGGCACAGTCTGTAGGGAGTTGTGCTGCTAACCTATGGCAACACCTTTTGTTGGTTTTAATCCACAATCAGGTCCACAAAAGAAGGATGGGAAATACCCTTTTTACTCTACCGCCTCCTAAGCCTGCTGGAGGGTCAGCATCAAGTGGGTTCTAACTCAACAGCAATGAGTTTGAGTTATTTTACTGTGAACTCCTTCAATCTGTCCGTATCTATTTATCTTTTTTATCTAACTGTGTATCTCCTTGAAGTTTAATGTTGTCATTGTTGATATTGCAAGACCGTGTATGTAATAATGTTTCCATGTATTTAGATTCTGTGTATGTTGATGTATTTCTTGTATACCTTGCCATGTCTTCCCTTTCTTTAGTGATACTGTGCCGATCATCCCCTTATTGTATATTACCTTTTTTGTCACCCATCTTAGTATGTGTCTGTTATCTATTTACTGATCTTTACTCCTCTCTCCCTGCCTTTCCATCCTTGTACTCATCCAAGAAGGCTTCTTTCTGTATGTTAAGCTTTCTTTTATAAATAATAGTGGAGTCATATAGTATTTGACTTTTTTTACTTATTTCATGCAGCCTTGTATTCCAGGTTTATCCACGTTATACAGTGTTTTGAAAAGTCTCCATTATTTTGTAGTGCTGCACAGCATTTTGTTGTACCATAGTTCATCATTCATTCATCAGTGGACAACTGGGTTATTATCATACCTTTGCATTTGTGAAAAATGCTGCCAGGAACATAAATGTGTATTTTTATCTGTTTGTGCCATAGCTTTTATTGTATGTTTGCCTTTGAATTCTGAGGGCAGTGACTTACTTGAAAATATTTTACTGTATAATAATTAGCAACTTTTTTGTTGTTGCTGTTGTTGTGTACTGTGGAGTTAGATCCAACCCATGGCTGACCCTTTGGCAGATTTTCAGGTACAGTTAATTGCACAGAAGGAGAGTGCCCATCCTTCTCCCGCAGAGCAGCTGGTAGATTAAAAATTGTGTGCCTTAGAGATTGCAGCACAGCTTCTTGCCAGTAGGCCACCAGAGCTTGTGGCTAACCTTGAGACAAATAGGAATTCCAGAACACCTGATTGTGCTCAGGTCAAACCTATGCTTGGACCAGGAGGCAATTGTCAAAACAGAACAAGAAATGCTACATGGTTCAACATCAGGAAAGGATTGTGTTATGGATGTGTTCTCTCTCTACACCTTTTCAGCTTATATACAGAACAGTTTATTCAGGAGGCTGCGCTTTATGAAGAAAATTGAGGCATAAGAATCAGAGGAAGACTCATCAACAACTTGCATTATGCAAATGGCTTAGACTTGCTTGCCAAAAATGAGGTGAGCCTGAAGCATTAGTTGCAGAAGATCAAGAACTGCAGTCTTCAACATGGATTGAAGCTCAACATTAAGAAAACAAAGATTCTTACTACTGGGCCAGTTGGCAGCACCATTTTAGATGGAGAGGACATCTTGAGATTGTTAACAATTTCAGCTAACTCAGTTCCATAACATCCAAAGTGCTATAGAGCAACATTGTCAGTCTGAAGACCAAGGTGCACCTGATCCAGGCCATGGTCTTTGCAGTTACTTCCTATACATTAGAGAGCTAGACAGTGACTAACGATGACAGAAGGGCCAATGCCTCTGAGTTGTGGTGCTGGAGAATTATTGAACATTCCATGGACTGCCAAGAAAACAAACAGTTTTGTCCAAGTTACTCCTTAAAGGCAAGGATTCTGAAGTTCCTTCTTACATACCTTGGGCATGTTAACAGAAGAGACCAGTCCTTGCAGAAGGATATCATGCTTGGGAAGGTATAAGAGAGGAAGAGCCTAGATGAGATTGATTGACACAGTTACTGGGGTAATGGGGTTAGATGTGTTGGAGAAAGACTGCTTCAAAATAGGTCAGCGTTCAGATCTATTGTGCATAGGGTCTCTATGAGTTAAAGACAACTCGACGGCACATAACAGCAACATTTTGGGCATGTTATTAGTAGGAACTGGTTCTTCGAGAAGAACATCATGCCTGGAAAGGTGGAGGGTCAGTAAAAGCGGAAGATACTCAATGAGATGGACTGACACAGTGACTGTAACAATGGGCTTGACATTGTTCACAAGGTCACTATCAATTGCAGTCAACTTGAAGGCACCTAACAACAACAACACCCATAGAAAATTCTGAAGAGGCCACAAGAAAATCTCTACAGATAATAAAGGAATTTGGTAAAGTCAGCAATGAAAAATTTGAAAGAGAATTTAAGAAAAACTTTTGATTTATAATAGTATCTAAGAAAATAAGATTATTGCTGTTTTTGTGTGCTGTCAAGGTTTTCAGAGGCTGTAAATCACACGAGAGGAAACTGCCCATATTTCTCCCGAGAAACAACTGATGGATACAAAGCACATGCCTTTGGATTGATAGCACGACTCCTTTACTTAGCTTAGTGACTAGTCATTGTAAAATGTAAAAGTAGTATAATTCTGTTAGTTTGTACACTATATAAATTGTATGTAAATCAGCCTTCTATAGGGACTAACCTATTTTTAATTTACTTTGCTTAGATTATTTTAAAATTTAAAATATAATTTCAAATCATTTGTCTCTTGAGCCTGAGAACTCTGAGTTTGATGAGGGAGTGGACAGTATCCACTTACTGCTTTGTTTTGCCAGCATTGCAGCTAGACAGACTAAGAGCAGCATCTTGCTGCTCCCCAGGTGTGTGATATTGGCCCTTTTTGTACTCATCTGTAAAATAGAGGTGATTACGGTACCTCATTTGAGTTGTTATAGGGATTCAAGTCTTTCATCCATTTACAAGTCCTTATTGTTCAGAGGTCACCTTCTCAGTGGACCTTCTTTCTTACCCTTCCCTGGCTCTTCCACTCTCTTTTCCTGCTTTATTTTCTCTTTTGCTCCTGTTGTCACCTGACACTGAATTTGTATATTGTTTGTTCACTTTCTGTGTTCTTCATCCTGCTTATCTTCTCAGAATGTGAGCTCTTGGAAGGTAAGGATTTTTCCCCCCTTTTTTAAATTTGATAGAATGTTTACAATTCATACTGGTTTTCATTCAGTCATTCATACATATTTTGCTTTATAACATTAATTATAATTGATTAATGTAATTAATTGCAGTGTCTCTTCAAACCCTTACTGGGTATTGCCTTTCTCTTCACAAGTCAGAAATTTTCCTCACCACTCTCTGCCCGTCATCTAGTATTGTATTTGTCCAGAGTATATTGAGAGCACATGTTAGCTGCTGCCAGCATGGCTGCAGAGGCCCAGTGCATGTGTTGCACAAAGCAGGGCCTGGGTGAGGGACTGAGGCAGCTGTGCCATGTGAGCCCTGCTGAGAGCAGTGCTACTGACTTGGGCCTTCTTTCCCGCAGGTGTCACTTGAGAAGGTGCTTGGGATCACAGCCCAGAATAGCAGTGGCCTAACCTGTGACCCCAGCACAGGCCATGTGGCTTACCTAGCAGGGTGAGCATGTTGGTGGAGGTGGGGGGACTCAATGTAATCACTGCTGGGCAATTTGAAGCCAGTGTAGTCTGGCCTGGTAAGCATGGGTACATTTGTCTGGCCATTGTCTTCCCTGTCTGTGAATGTGCACAATGCTGCCTATTTTGATGGTGGTAGGGAAGATTCCATATGCCCTTCTGTGTCTGGAATTACTACCTCCTACCATGTAGTAAAGGCTATGAATGCCTTAATTGTGACTGCAGGTGGGAGACAGTAGTGGTTCTGGGAAAGACGTGGGATGTCAGGCAGCCTCGATCTGTGTCCTTGACATATCATATATTCTCTATTTCTTGAGCTTTTGCTTCTCTAAGGCAAAGCTAGCGATGCTCAGCTCTTGAGGTTGAGAAGACTGTTTATTTTACAAATAGTAGCTTGGCGCTGTTCTAGGTGCTGAAGGAATTGTTCTGAGTGGGAGCACAGGCCCAGCCCATTGTAACTCCCAAGGAGCAGTGTTTTTGAGTCTTTAGAAAGCAGTCCAGAATAGAGGTCAGTGACTCTGATAAGTGTGGTGTCACCACCCAGCTCTGTTCCTGACCTGCTGGCTGACGTTGGGCTCTAGTTTCTTCATGTGTTAAATAGACTAAAGAGTCATGACCTCATCTGGCAGTTGTGAAGGTTTAAAAACATAGGTCTTGGCCACTATATTGGAGTCCCCTGAGCACTCGGGACACCTCCAGGCATCTGGCGACATGATCGTCTGTGACCTGGCCCAGAGTGCTGTGAAGAAGCAATGTGGCAGCACCCCTGAGGTACTACCCCCTTTGCCCCTACCTGAGGTGCCGGCTGTCAGCTCCTCCCTGACCCACCCCTTAGACTAGGCAGGTACGCCAAGTGGATAAGTGGCTGGTTCTTTTTGTGTCCAAAAAGCAAAACACAAAAAAAGTCAAGAGAACCCCATGCTTTACTCTCCAGGCACATGCAAACTTTCCCAGTATCTGTAGCTGTCTTACCCACCCCATGTGGAACTAAACAAGATGCCACCAAAAAAACCCAAAAAATCAAACACGTGGTCTTTATTAATAAAGCCCAGTGTCTGATGGAGTAGTAACCCCAAAAGAAGTACACTCACTCCTCACTTAATGTGGTTCCAAAGACAATATCGTTATATGAAATTAGCATTATGTGAGGGAGAGGAGGACCCAGAGGTCACCTTAAAGTCCAGACCCTCAGGACACCTGTGCCCCTGGCACCACTGGACCCCAAGGTCCAGATGTCAGGACTGACCCTGGACTAGACCTGAGAGCCCAGCAACTGGACTAGAGCCGAGGGAGGTGGTGGGGGAGGGGTCAAAAAAGTCAATGAGGGTTGTTGCACTCCCATGCTCATATCCACTCTAGCCACCCCTCCACAGCCTCAGTGGCCAGGCTAGGCAGGACCCCACAGAAACAAGCAATGGGTTTCTTAACTTGGAGACTTGGAACTGAGGCCACAAACCTGGAGACTTAACAGCTACTAAGATAAAGATCCCAATACCCACTGTGGAGGAGGAGGTGACAGGCTTCTGCTGCAGGGGCCTCAGGCCCCCAGCACTCGTCTGTTCGGAGGAAGCTATGTGGGGGCTCTTCTTTTGGGATGAGAATTCCCTGGATTTCCAGTGTTTTCCTGTTTTTCTCTTTCTCACAGCTGTGTGGTGGTGATTTTGGACCCTAAGGAGAACAAACAGCAGCACATCTTTAATACTGCTAAGTAGGCTGGGGCCAGGGCCACTGGGCAAGGGTGGGAATTACTCCCCCTTTCCCACATATCCAGGAGGGGCTCGTTCATTCACCCATCAGTTCAGCAACATTCACCAGTAACTGCTCTGTGACAGGTTTTCTTCCAGTGCTGGCAGCACAGCAGTGAACAAAAGAGACAAAAATCTCTGCTCTCTCTCATAAGGCTGGCTGCCCAGTGCAGGAGATAGACTGTCAGTCCATGCTAAAAGCTGTGGAGGCAATGATGGGAGATGTGTTAGGGCAGGCTTATGGGCCCAGGATGGAGGCCATAAGAGGCCCACGAGAGGGCTCAGGGAAGGCCTCCCGAGCTGAGACATGAAGGAATTGAGGGGTGACCCATATAAAGGTTTGGGTGAGCACTCCAGACTGAGTAAACAGCGAGGGCAAAGATCACATGGTGGCCAAGAATTCTGAGTATTTTGAAGAGCAACAAAGAGTGTGTGTTCCTAGAATACAGGAGTGGGTAAGGGGAGATGAGGCTGGGACAGCCAAAAGCCAGGTGGCCTTAGGGATTGGGGAGGGGAGGGGATGGGTATCTATTAAGTTCAAGGAGAAGCCGCTAGGCGCATGTACACACGCCAGGGATGAGCTTGCCAGCCTCAGTGCTCCAGCACACTCCTCTCTCTGCTGTACTTTTCTCCACAAAATTGAGTCCTGTCTGATGTGCTCATTTTCTCACTGAAGATAGTCTTATCTGCTTCCCACACTGAGCTCTAGGGTCTGGGGATTTGGTCTCCACTCACTTTGTGATCCCAGACCTTTAGAGCAAGCACATTTGATGATACTTCCTGTTTCCTGAATGAGTTAATGTGATTAGGATTTTCAAATAATCTCTCCAGCTATTTTCTCTGGTGAATGTAAAGGCTGAAAGAACAGCAAGGAGACTTTATACTTCTCGGAGGTGTAAGTTGATGGAGGCTAGGCCCATCTTCTACTTTTGTTGGAGGATTAGAGGATGACTGTGGAGCCAGCCATTGTTGTCCAAATCTAGAGACCTTCTCTCAGTCACCCATCACTGTCAGGGTATTGAGGAAGGCTGTGGCCCTGAGTAGCTAAGGAGTCTGCATTAAGGTTGATCAATCATTGTCATCCTGGGAATACGGGTCCAGAGGACTCTGACCATTCTAACCTCACACTGACGTAAATCACGTTCAACTCCTGTGGCTACTGTGGATGGAAAAGGTAAGTTCTTTTTCTTTCCTTCATGATTACTAGGGGACTCTGCTGGCTTACTGATAAGGAGTTATACTGCCAGCTTAAAGGTTGGAATCCACCAGCTGCTCCAAGGGATGAAGATGGACATTCTCCTCCCATGAGACTGACAACCTCTGAAAACCCGCTTGAGGCTTTTATAAGTCAGTTCCTACTTGAGAGTACATAACAGCAATATGGTTACTAAATAAGACAGATAGGGCCCAAATTCCCTTGGCTCTTCGCTCTGTGTTCTAGTACTGATGTGAAGGTAGGACTGGGTTCAGTCTCATTCTAAGCATTTATTAACTGTGTGAGATCAGGCAAGATGCTTCTCCTTTTTGGCCTGCTCTGAAAATAGAGTAACTGCCTCCCTTTATGTGTGCCCATAAGGTAGCAATTGCAAAACAGGCCCGTAAATCTGTAGTTGGGACAATACGGTATGTTGTAGAGATTGGAATTCATTGACAATAAAATGTTTGCCACAAAAAATACAGTTGTTCCCTTATTTTGCAAATGAGAAGTTATAGGCCTAGGGACCTGTGCCCCTTGTGGTGACAGTGAGTTACAGCATGGTGGCGTTTGTCAGAACCCTTCCAGTCCATGTCCATACTACCTCTGATCCTTGCAGGCACAGGAAAGGGTGAAAGTGGTGTGAAGGGACTAGCAAGGAGGTCTCCGTCCTTGGCTGCCAGTGTGTCTGTCTTGGGAGGTAGTGGGACCAACCTGGGAGTTTTCACCTGGCTGGCTGCGTGGCAGAATCACTTGACTCCTGGACCTTAAGTTAGAAAAGCCTGGGCTTTGGCTTGGGGTGAGGTATAGAATGAGGCTAGGATGTTGTCAATTTTGAAATTTTTGTATTGAAATAATTGCAAATTTTAAAGGATAATGCACATAATGCCTAGATAACTTTCACACTCCCAAATTTGCTTTTACCATATTTGTTTTGTCCTACCTGTTATAATGGTTTTTGTGGAACTATTTGGGAAAAATTTGCAGGCATGACATCTCTTTATCTTTAAATATTGTCATAACTACAAAACATCAGGCAAACTCAGTCATGTAGACAGCCGCTCCTGAAAAGGGTGAGAGAAGTAAGGAAGTACTCTATCCCAGTACATTGCCATCTTCCAGTTAAAATCAGGGTTCTCTCAGGAAGGAAGGAAGGGTGAATGGATTTGGAGTAGAGAGTTCACACTGTTTGGTATTGTAAAGAGCAAGTAGAAGCCACTAGAGGGTTGACATGATGACAGATATTCTATGAGATTGTCAAAGACTCGCTCAGAGCATATCCTTTGTTATATGCATACTAGTTTACTAATTTTTGAAGGAGACAGTTATGAGACTGTTGAGGAAGGCAGTAAAAGAGAAGAAAGGGGGGGACAAAACCCCTAAACTTTACAGTCTGGGAACAGTGACACTAAAATGTGCAAACTAGCAAAGAGTCTGGTCATTCAGTCCCAGTAGCGAGGAGTATTGGAGAGAAACATTTTGATTGTGTATATTTTCAGGAACACCTTAGACAGTAACAGTGACAGGCTGTCTCAGGGTGATGTCTGCCATGGCCTCGCCTTCACCATCACCCCCTTAGTTAGCCCAATCAGAACCATTTCCTGCACTCAGATTTCTTAGGAATTCTATGATTTCTTAGGGAACCAAGTCTTACACAGGGAGGGAGGAAGAGGAGTTCCCATCCAGTGTCCACTCATCTAGATTTGGGACTTTAGGGAGAACATAGCCTTTCCTTTGACCCTCATTTCCCTGAGTCAGTGCAGCTGGCTTTTTCTGGCAGCAGGGAATATGCTGTGCTGGCCATGTGAGCAGCACTGACTGTGGAAGCCCCTCTAGCTCCCGTTTTCTTGGCCTCTCAAAGCTTAGGTGGCGAGGGCAGAGTATCTTGGGCATATCCAGGATGGGGGGGTCAGCCTTCTCACTCTTTGCAGAACCAATAATCTTCTCCTTTCTTTGCCTGCAGAAAGTCTCTGAGTACTTTGGCCTTCTCACCTGATGGAAAGTACGTAGTGACAGGGGAGGTAAGTCCCCATCATGATTGAGTGTGTGTGTGGTGGGGATATCTAGGAGAGTCCCTAGACTAGCTCTTTTCTTGGCCAGAAAAACCCCTTGGCAGGTGGAGCAGGGCATCATTTATCCTGCCAACTCGAAGCCTCAGAGCCTTTCTAGTCCTGCCTACCTTCACCTTTCCCAGAATGGGCACCGGCCAGCTGTACGCATCTGGGATGTGGATGAGAAGAGCCAGGTGGCCGAGATGGTGGGCCACAAGTATGGTGTGGCCTGTGTTGCCTTCTCACCCAACATGAAGTACATCGTGTCCATGGGCTACCAGCATGATATGGTGCTCAACGTCTGGGACTGGAAGGTAAGAGCTGGCTGGGAGGCATGAGGGCAGGCAACCAGGTACCAGAGGGTTCTGTGTTTAGGGCACTGGAGGACAAAATGAGATAACTTGACAAAATGTTCATTGTAAAAGGAACAGTGCTAACATGGAGAAGGCTGAGTCTGACTTCTACCCACTACATAAAGGGGAACTATCTCCATCAGTTATGCATAGTACCAAACAGATAGCTACATGGTCAGACATGCCACTCCCCATGCTTCTGCTCATATTTCTAGGAATCGTTTGGTTCAATGTTCATTGCAAATTTACTTACAGACTTTACTCACTGTTGTGGGGTTTATTAGAGAAATAGTTTGGGAGTTGAGCAGACAGGATATCACATAAAGTCCAGGTTTAGTGTACAGCTACCTCAAACCAGACTATCAGCAAGACAAAAATTCCTCAGTTAGTTCAGACAGCTTCTCATCAAAAAGTCTAGGTTCACCTCAACTAATTTGGCCCTCAAAGCAGAACCAGACTGTCTACCACCACCAACCACTCTAAAAGGAATCGCATTCAAACATCCTGGACAGATTTGGGCAAAATGTGGAACGAAACTCCAGAACATAAAAACAGCCAGACGTATTGGTCTGATTGAGATTGGTGGGAAGCCACCCCCAGTACTCTAACCTTTAGTCATCCTTTAAACCCACAACAAAACTGACCTCTGTGGTTCAACTCTCAGCTAAACGACAGAAGACTGTCTTTAAGGTAGCCAGTAACATCAGAGAGGCACTCAGTCCTTAGATTAACCAACCAGAAGAGGTCAACGGGAGAGCATTTACCTGTGGATAAAGCCCTAAAGGCAGGAAAGGGTAGGACAGAAGCAATGAAATGAAAATTATAGGGAGGAAGTGACAATGTATAACTACATTGTGGGTATTGTGATGAATGTTATAAAACAAAATGTGTATGACTGGTTGAATGAAAAGCCAGTCTGCTTTATAAACTGACTCAAATCACAATAAGAAGAAATAATGAAAAAAAAAAGTCTAGGTTTAGTTTAGCAGTACAAATACCCTTTGGTTTCCTCAATTGTCCAGCAAGCTTTGTCTCATAACATTCACAAGTCAGCTCTTCATTCAGTCATCCAGAAGCAAACTTTTAACTTTGGCTGCATCTCCAGGGTTCTGTCAGGCTACACCTTGCTGCAGTCTCTCTACAGCCTCCCCATAGTGTGGAAAGCACTCTTATATTGGTCCCACAGCTGTTGATTTTCAAGACCATGTGTCTGTAGTTGAGGTAACTGGAGACCGTATTCCCAATGGGAGCTAACACAATGGCTAGACTTAATATCACATTCATTTATTCATCAAATGTTTATTGAGCACCTGCTACATGCTCTTTATTGAGCTTATTATAAAATAAAGGCAGTGAAATCTGTTTCTTCAGCTGTAAAATGGATATGATATTCTTATCTACCTTATTGGGTTGTTCAGTGAATTTTATATGTACAAGGCTGGACTTGGAAATAGATATGGAGGGGTTGGAGTGAGCAGAAATGGTATCAAGTCCTGGCTGTGTATGTGACCCTGAGCCTATGACATGCCTTCTCTGAGCCTGACTGCCCAGGGAGAGAAGCACCTTCTCATAAGACTGTTGAGATTCCCTGTGTGATTGCTTGACGGGGTCTGCACTGTGAGGGCCTCAGAGGCAGAACTCCATTTATGACAACTGTGAGTGGTATATTTACTTTCTGTCTGTGGCTGTCCCCAACAACATAGGTTGCCTGCAGTGCTTGGGCCCTTGGGGAGAGTCCTCACATGGGTACTCTTCCAAGCCTCAGTCTCCTCTTCTGTAGAGTGTGTATAATAAGAATACCATATAGAACACAGCTCCCAATAGTCTATTTCAAAGGAAACAGACTTGGAGCAGGGGAAAGCAGGAGCTGCAGAGCTGAGGACAAGGAAAATGGGGCCAGTAGTCGGAGGGGGTGTTTGTTGGCTGAGCTTCTCTGCACTGATTCTTCCAGAAAGACATCATTGTGGCCTCCAACAAGGTGTCATGCAGGGTCATCGCCCTCTCCTTTTCAGAGGACAGCAACTACTTTGTCACTGTTGGGAACCGGCATGTGAGGTTCTGGTTTCTGGAAGTTTCCACAGAAGCAAAGGTGAGTTTCTGTTCCTGATGCTTAAGCCAGTCCTCAGAGAGTAAACTGTCAGGGTTGCTGTTTCTACCTGAGATTTGGGGGCATATTGTCTGGGACCTGCGGGATCTGACTTCTTCCAAGCTTGCTCTGTAGATGCTGACCTGTAGCCCTTGCCCGGACCCACAACCCAAAGGTCAGACTTTACCTTGAGCTGCTGCTTCTAATCCCACCACCCACTAGTAGTTGTTCTGGTTTTCTTTCATGCTGTGCTTGTTATGTACCATCAAGATGACCCACTCCTAGCTGACCCTCTGGAGGCTTTTCAGAGGCATGAAATTGCACAGGAGGATATTGCCCCATTTTTCTCCCACAAAGTAGCTGAAGGATTCAAACTGCATGCCTTTTGGTTGGCAATGTAACTCTTTACCCAACTAGGCCACCAGGGCTCCCCTTCTGTACTTAGTTTTACTATTAACCTGTATTATTGTGTCCTCTAGTCATGACTAGTCTATTTATGGCCTTGCTACGGTAAAAACCACGTGAGCGGTGTCTCATGGGGCCCTGTTTTCCCTCCAGGTTACAGGTACAGTGCCTCTGGTAGGGCGCTCGGGCATCCTGGGCGAGCTCCACAACAATGTCTTCTGTGGCGTGGCTTGTGGCCAGGGACGCATGGCAGGCAATACCTTCTGTGTGTCCTACTCGGGTCTCCTCTGCCAGTTCAATGAGAAGAGAGTTCTGGAAAAGTGGATCAACCTGAAGGTATCCCACCATCTCTTTTGGCAACTGTCTGGGTAAATTTTTTCCCCACAGCATTATCTCCAGAGAGGCCCTGTCTGGTCCAGGGTGAGTTACTTGTTATTATGGTTGAGTGACTCTCACTCTCAGAGCCACTGGAAAATGGGAAAACTGCTGTTGACCTCACTGGAACCCTAGAATGGGGTCAAGATTATGATTATTTCAGATACTGAAGAATAATTTAATCTATTGCTAAGTCATTCTTTTATTTAGTTTTTCCCCCTGCCATTTAAATGTCTGTGGATTTTGTATAGTTCTTTTTGGTTAAAAAAATTATTATAAAGGAGCTCTGGTGACCTAGTGGCAAGAAGCTACACTGCAATCCCAGAGGCATGCGGTTCAAATCCATCAGATGCTCTGCTGGAGAAGGAGGGGTTTGGGTCAGTTTACATTTTCCTTGATTGAATTCACTTGGCTGTTGAGAAGACTGAATTTTTAAATTAATGCTAAATTACTACTGATAAAATAATTGTTTTCATTTTTATTTTATTATTTGTGTGTGTACCATCAAATGGGATCTGACTGGTGCAGGAGGAGATTGTCCCTCCTCCAGCAGAGTATCTGGTAGATTCAAACTGTGTACCTCTGGGATTGCAGTGCAGCTTCTTGTCACTAGGCCACTAGAGCTCCCTTGAAGTCATTTTTTAAGTGATAGGGAATAATGTTTAAGCTGAAGTTCACCGTAGTTACTGCAAGTGATCTATCTGAAGTAGTAATCTGCTGAAACGTTTTCATGCATAGCCAAATTCCTCTGCAGCAAACACCAACAGCTCTGCCCAGTTCATGCCTGCCTGCTGGCATATTTCCTTCAATATAGACAATATATACTATTTTCTGATTTCTGAAATCTTGAGATAGGCTTCTTAGACACCAGGAACTATATAAGGTTTCTCTCAAGGACCACGGCATCTCTGTCAATCCCTACTTCCCTGGGCCAGGCCGCATGGAACACATGGTTTACTTGGGTCCCTTTTGTCCTCACAGGTCTCCCTGTCCTCCTGCCTCTGTGTCAGTCAAGAGCTCATCTTCTGTGGTTGCACAGATGGGATAGTTCGCATCTTCCAGGCCCACAGCCTGCAGTACCTCAGCAACCTTCCGAAGCCTCACTACCTCGGGGTAGATGTGGCCCAAGGCCTGGAGCCCAGGTACTACTCATTGGGGAGGGCAGCGAGGGGAAGGAACACTCAGGGTCTGTGCTGATGTCCATCCATTTGTCCACACATCTGTCTATCCCGTAGACATAAGTAATTGCTTTAGACCTGGGGCAAAGCAGCAGCAAGCCACAGCATGGGAAGTGAGACTGATGGAGAAAATGAACAGATAAATGATAAATGCTGTCAAGTTCATTTTGGCTCTTAGTGACCTATGTGATGGAGGAGAACACTGTTTTAGACAAGAATCCTTTGGGGAGCAGATTACTAGCTCTTTTCTAACAGAATCACTAGGTGAGATCAAACTGTCAACCGATTGTTAGCAACCTATCACTTGACCATTGTGCCACCAAGGCTTCTTTAAAAAGGTGATAACAAATAATTTCCAGTAGTATCGTAAGTGCTGTGGAGAAGAAAAACTGTCTAAGCACAAAAATGATGTATTTAGTATCATAATTGCTGTGGAGAAAAAAAAAAACAAGCCCCAAAATGTTGTATTTGTCTCAAAATCCTTTGTGAAGCTAGACTCTGTGAAGAATCTGGCATCAGGAAGACTCATTAACAACCTATGTTAAGTGACACAACCTTGCTTGCTGAAAGTGAAGAGGACTTTAGACATTTGTTGTCTCAAGAACTGCAGCCTTCAATATGGATTACATCTCAACATCAAGAGAACCATAATCCTCACCACTGAACCAGTGGACAACAACATCATGTTAGATAGAGAAAGAATTGAAACTTAATTATTTCATCTTGCTTGGATCAACAACTTTAGGTACCAGCAGTCAGGAGCTCATGGAGACCTATTACACTGGGCAAGCTGTCAGGGATCGCTCCAAATTACGGAGGAGCAATGATGTCAGTTTGAAGACTAAAGTGCACCTGATTCAGGCCATGGTTTTCTCAATCATTTGCTGTGTATCTGAGAGCTGGACAGTAACTAAGGGTGAGAGAAGAAGAATTGATGCCCTTGTGTTGTGGTGCTGGAGAAGAGCACTGAATGCCCGATGGACGGCCAAAAGAACAAACAGATCTGTCTTGGAAGAAGTGCAGCCAGAGTGCTCCTGGGAGGCAGAGATGATGAAGCTTCATCTCACATACTTTGAGCATGGAAATGCTGTTCCTTGGAGAGAGACATCATGCTTGAAAGGAAGACCCTCAAAGAGATGAATTGACACGCTGACTGTAGCAATGGGCAGAGATGAAGAGGATGCAGAGTGCAGGGATGAGCAGGGTTCAGATCTGTTGTTAATTAGGTTGCTTCACTGTGAGCGCTCTACTCAACAGCACCTAACAACATCATTTGTCTATGTGGCAAACATTTATGAAATAGCTACAAGTGCCCCCTTGGGGCAGGATGCAGCTGTAATGAGGCAGCAAAATCTCCGTCAGAGTAAGCTCTAAGTCTAGTGAGGGAGCTCAGTAATAAAACAAGCATATAGTCAGTGCTGTGATGAAATAAAGCAGGAGTCAGGAGGGAAAGGGCATGGAAGTCAGGATTATGTTGGTAGGAAGCCTCTCTGGTGAAAAGGAGTCAGCTATGGAGAGAACTGGGTCTCAATAGCCAGGCTTTCCAGCTCTGACATTTTATGTGTGCTCTGTGACCTCAGGTAAGTCACTGCACCTACCTTTGCTTCGGTTGCCTCATCTGTAAAATATAGTACCTGCCTCTTGTGGTAGCTATAAGTATTTAGTACACCCAGAGCTCACCATTTAATAAATGCTCTGTAAATTCTAACCTATGTGCAGGTGACACAAGGCTCTGGTGGTGGTTCACCAGGCCCCTGCACAGGTTTTGATCCTTTGTTGATGAGGCCAAGAAGAGCTAAGGTATGCATGTTCCTTTATCCTTCTAAGCGCAGAGAAATAGAGAGAAAGAAAGGAAATTTGGGTGAGATGAGGTGAGGAGAAATGATAACAAGAGTAAAAAATTCAAATTCCTTCTGGTGCCAAACAGAAGCTTCTGTGTATTAGGAGCAAAACAAAGGAAGAGAGAAGGAGAGGTGGAGTTGGAGTGAGAGAGATGAAGGGAAAGCATTGCCAGGCAAGAAACTGCTTGAGGGTCATCAAAGGTGACGGTCACCACTGACACGGATGTTGATGGTGATTTATCATCCTTGCGGTCTTGTTAGCTTCCTCTTCCACAGGAAGGCAGAAGCAGTATACCCAGACACAGTGGCGATGACCTTTGACCCCATCCACCAGTGGCTATCCTGTGTGTATAAAGACCACAGCATTTACATCTGGGATGTCAAGGATATCAACAAAGTGAGCAAGCTGTGGTCAGACCTGTTCCATAGCTCCTACGTCTGGAATGTGGAGGTGAGCTCTCCCTCTCTCCACTCCTGCTTAGCCCTGATTTGGGGTCTCAGTGAGGGTAAGCCTATGTAGAATTGGGAAAACCCACTCAGCCGTTCCTTCATCAGATGACTAATGAGCCCTTCTATGTCCCAGATTCTGGTTTAGGTGCTGGAAACATAACTGGGATAAAAATAGACAAAAAGTCCTGCCCCGTGGAGCTCACATTCGGATGGCAGGATTAGGCTGTAAACCTGCAAACATTGTTCAATAGCATTTCCAAGAGTGATATTTTCCTCCCTCTAAAAGAAGAGGCCAGATGTGTATATATTGGGATTGGGGAGGACATGCAAGTCTGGCCTGGCTGGCTCTGCTCTTCCTCCTGTCTACAGAGCGTTTGTGGGAGAGGACTGTGGCCCCTCTGCATAGTGTTTATAGCAGCTAGACTGTGGACTGTATGCTGGACTCACTCTGGGAGATAGAACCTCTTCACAGTGTGCATACCCAGAGTGAACCCTACATAGTTACATCAGTATTTTGGGGAGATGAGGGAGGACTCAAACACCAGTGTTTTTAAGACTTTGAAGAGACTTCTATGTCCCAGGCTGAACTAGACATCCCTCTAGCAGGAGTGGCATCAACTTCCTAAACAACGTGCCTCTGGAAACTGTATGAACTTTGAGAAATGACAATAGTTATAGGAAGGCTTCAGGTCTTATGTTCATAGAATTGCTAGGAGTTGTGCTTGACTCAACGGCAGTCAACGCCACAACAAAAGAGGAGCTCTAGTGATTTAGTGGTAAAAGAGTTTCACTGCAGTCCCAAAGGCATGCCGTTAGAATCTGCCAGCCGCTCCATGGAAGGATGGGCAATCTCTTTCCAAATGATTAACTGCCTCTGAAAACCCGCCAGAGGGTCAGCTCTGGATAGGTTCTGACTCACTGGTACACAACAACAACAACAACAATTCCTTTAAAAGTTATCCTTAATTGTTAGTGCTATCATGTCAACCACAATTTATAGTCACGCTGTGAACAACAGATCAGAACCCTGCCCTATCCTGTGCCATCCTCATGATCCCTGTCGTGCTTACTTAAGCCCATTGTTGCAGTTAACTATGTCAGTCAGCCCATCTTGTTGAAGGTCTCTCCTTCTCTGACCCTTTGTTTCCAGATATAATGTCTTTCCTGACGATATACCCAAAGTGTGTGAGACAAAGTCTCAATCATCCTTGCCTCAAAGGAGCACAGATTGCACTTCCTCCAAGATAGATGTGTTTGGTTTTTTGGTGGTTCCTAGCATGTATATTCTAGTATGCTACCAAGCCGAAGGTGGTATAGCACTGGTCTGTGCGTTGCTGTACAGAGGTAACTCTTGGTTGCTGTGATGCTGAAGACTGTGACAGTGATGTGCCAATCATGGTAATGGGTACCTAGGTGGACAGTGTTGTTGGCTGGAGCTTCCTGACTAAATCAAGCCTGGAAGCAGGAGCGGAGTCCACTTCCAAAATGGCTTGCCTCCGGAAACTCTATGTACAAACAGTGCTCAGGCTGTTCGTTCATAGGATCGGTATGAGTCGTCTACGACTCGACAGGATCAAACAACAACAACAACAATATGTATATTCATTCAGTACTTTTCACCTACATCACAAATTAAAAACATTTATTCTTTGATCTTCTTTATTCATTGTCCAACATTCACTTGCTTCTTGGTCTATGTACAGGATTTGCATAAGCGTAATTAAGTGTTCTTGAATTTCCATTCTTCTCAGTGTTTTCCATATTCATTATGATCCACACAATCTAATTACTTTGCATAATCAATAAAACACAAGTAAACATCTTTCTGGGATTTTCTGCTTTCATTTGAGGTCTATCTGATATCAACAGTGATATCCTTCATTCCATGGCTTCTTCTGAATGCAACTTGAATTTCTGGAAATTCCCTATAGACATATTGATCCAGCCATTTTTAAATAATCTTCAGCATGGTTTTACTTACATGTGATACTAATTTGATAGTTTCTATACTCTATTGTATCATCTTTTTTGGAATGGGAACAATTGACAAAAAATCTCTTCCAGTCAGTTGGCCAGGTAGTTGTCTTCCATTTGTCTTAGCACGTAAGTGAGCACCTCAGGACGACATCTGTGTACTAAAACACCGACGTTTATATTCTGTCAATTCTTGGAGCCTTACTTGTTGCCAGTGTTTTCAATGCAGCTTCAGCTTCTTCTTTCATTCCTGTTGGTTCTTGACCATATGCGCTCATGAAATGGTTCCGTGTTGACCAGTTCTTTTTAGTACTCTGTGTATTCCTTCCATCTCTGTTTTTCTCCAAAAATGTTCTGCATTTATTTACATATATTTTAAACAGTTATTATAGGAAAATATTTCCCACCCATTGTCATATATTTAAATTTCCTTGGGAACAAAAGGTCAAAACATAGCCAATTTAAGTAGTTTATCTATAACTTCTTTCTTTCTTTCTCACAGTATTCACTGAAATGGACTTGCTGCCTTTCCTCCTCTTTCCTTTTCAGCAGATGAGCAAAAGTTGTAGCAGCAGTAATTCAGTCCTAAGAAGTCACAATGAGTGCTTTTCACCCTATCCTTAGTTCATACAGGAAGGTGCACCAAGCCTGACACAGAGTTGGTACTCAGAAATATAGAATGCATTTTTTTTAAATGAGATGACCAAAAGATTAATTATTAGTTATTAATTATTTCCTTTAAGGAAACCAGAAATACAATTGAGAACAGGGCAGTACTGCTCCATTAGTAACAGTTAAAAGCAGGCTTCTCTAAAACTTTCTTATTACCATCTGTTTATATACATTTTGTTGGAAAAAAAGAATTTTAAAGAGCTAATGGAAGAGATCTATATTTGTTCCCATTCCAAAGAAGGGTGACCCAACAGAGTGTGGAAACTACAGAACAATATAATAGATTTCACATGCTAGCAAGATTCTACTGAAGATTATCCAAAAACGACTGAAGCAGCACATCAGCAGAGAATTGCCAGAAGTCTAGGCTGGGTTTAGAAGGGGTCGTGGTAATAGGGATATTGTAGCTGATGTTAGATCTTAGCTGAAAGCAGAGAATACCAGAAGAATGTCTCTCTATGTTTCATTGATTATGCAAAGGCGTTTGACTGTGTGGATCATATCAAACTGTGGCTGACTCTAAGAATGAGAATCCCAGAACATTTAATCGTGCTAATGCAAAACCTGTACTTGGACCAGGAGGCAGTTGTCAGAACAGAGCAGGGTAACACTGCATGGTTCAAAATTGGGAAGGGTGTACGCCAGGGATGTGTCCTGTCTCCATACCTTTTCAACCTGTATGCAGAGCAGATTATCCGAGAGGCTGGGCTCTATGAGGAGAAGCGTGGTGTTAGGATTGGTGGAAGATCTATTAACCATCTGTGTTATGCAGATGACACAACCCTGCTTGCTGAAACTGAGGAGGACCTCATGTACTTGTTGCAGAGGGTCAAGGACTGCAGCCTTCAGTATGGACTGAGGCTCAATGTCAAGAAGACAAAGATTCTAACCGCTGGACCAATTGGTAGCATCAGGATGGATGGCGAAGAGATTGAAATTGTTCACAGCTTCAGTTTGCTCGGCTCCACGGTCAACACTCTTGGCACCAGCAGTCAGGAAATCAAAAAACATATTGCGATGAGAAAGTCTGCTGTTAGAGACCTCTCTAAAATACTCAAGAGCAACGGTGTCTCTCTGGAGACTAAGGTGCGCCTGATACAGGCCATGGTTTTTGCAATCACTTGTTATGCATCAGAGAGTTGGACAATGACTAGGGAGGACAGAAGGAGAGTTGATGCCTTTGAGCTGTGGTGCTGGAGGAGTATTGAATGTACCATGGACTGCCAAGAAAACAAACAGATTCATCCTGGAGAGGGTTAAACCAAGCTACTCCTTGGAGGCAAGGATTCTGGGGCTTCATCTGACATACTTTGGGCATGTTGCAAGGAGGGACAGGTCCTTGGAGAGGGACATCATGCTTGGGAGGGTGGAGGGACGGCGCAAGAGGGGAAGACCCTCTATGAGATGGATTGATTCAGTGACTGGGGTAATTGGGATGGGTGTGTCAGAGGCAGTACGATTGGCACAGGATAGAGCAGGGTTTAGGGCTGTTGTACATAGGGTCGCTATGAGTCGCAAACGACTCGACAGCACATAACAACAACAATAAAAAAAAATGAAGTGAACTGTTTCTGACATTAACTGTTTATGCCACTAGCTATTTTAAAAAGCAGACCAGGGCATTGAATTCTCTTGTAACTCCAGGACTCTAGTTGAAATATATTTTCCCTATTGGAGCTAATTTATATTTTGTGCTGTTGATACACTCTATTCTGAGCCAGAAAAGTGACTAGCAACCTATAAAAACCAGCAAATTCTTGAGTCTCTTAATAAAGACCAAATCTAATCTCAGTTTTTCACAAGGAATTGGCTTCTGCTCAGCTTCCCTTTTGTGCTGAGGCAAGCCACAGGTACCACGGTCTTCTCCACCTTTATCCCATACTTTTCTTCAGGAGTGTCTAACCAGTATAGGCCCAGGTTCTGGGCTCTTAGGAGTACTAGAATGAAGGGGAAAACTTGGAATGCTGTTTTTCTTCTGATCTGGGGGAGTGAGTTTTCCCTCACAGCAGAAAACTCAGGTCTGGATATCTGGTAGAATGAACATGTAAGCTAGTTTTTGAAGTGACAGTTCCCCAGGTGAATTTTTCTTATTCAAAAACAATTGAAGAATTGTTCTTTAATTCTTTAAACTTGAGAAATACTGACTGTTGTGAGCAGCTCAGAACATCTACAAGTTCATCCCTTCCCAACAGACAGCCTACCCCCCACCTTCATTCAAAGAAACCTTTAACTATGGCCTTTATCTCAGAGTAGTTACAAGTCAACTTTTCTTTCAATTGTCCAGCAAGCAAAACCTTTAATTGTGACCTTTATCTTCCTTTGGTTACACCTTGTCACAGTCTCTTCACCCTCTCCCTACCACTGTCTCCACACACACTGCCTTCTCTCATAGTGCAGATATCACTATTATATTGGTCCTACAGCTGTTGATGATTTGCAGGATCATGTGTCTGCAATTACTGTAGCTGGAGACCATGCCCCCGCACAACAGGGGCTAACACAATGGCTAGAAAAACTATTTTTTAGTTAACATAGACGCTATCACACTCTGTCAATTTATCTGCTGTTTACTCTTTTTCTCCCATATATAACAGTGTATCATAAAGCTCTTTACTTTGGTTGTAATGGATCACTCTTTATCTTATTTCTGAGAAATATAGGTGTATCCTGAGTTTGAAGATCAGAGAGCTTGTCTGCCATCAGGCTCTTTTTTGACCTGCTCATCAGACAACACCATCCGTTTCTGGAACATGGATAGCAGCTCTAACACTCAATGGCAGAAAAATGTCTTCAGCAGTGTAAGTGTCATTGTGACTGCCTGTTAATAGGAACAAAACCCTATTTTAAAGTTGGATATGGGGGCACGAGCAAGTCTTCTAGAACCTGTGGTAGATCATAGTAGGAATAAGAACCAGGAACCAAAGTGGGTCACTTCTTTCTCCCTTCCTCTTGCTTCCTCCTTTTGCTTTCTGATGTAGCATCATCTGGCCTCTCTGCTGCATACTGTCAGTCAGCTTCTGCTCTCCAGCATGTGTGGATACCACCACCCTAGGCAGCCAACACTTTGAACAGAGAAGTGCTCCCCAAGTCTTGAATTGGAATTCGTGAAGAGTCCATCTAATGGGCCCAGAGGCAGAGACTTCTGTCTAGGTAGCTGCCATACAGTGGAACCTGGGGTAGGAATGCTGGCAGGATCCCAGAGTGAATCATAATTGGAAACTGGAGGGAATGGTTGGTATTACAAAAGCAATGAGGGAACGTATCTGGGAAGCTGAGATTTGAATCATTCCTTTATTTATATAGATGTTTATTTTATATAGTGTTTATTAAGATCTGAGCCAGTTGCTGTGCTGTGCTAAATGCTGGGGATACGGCAGTGATTACCACAGACTCTTCTCCCTCCTCTGTGATATCCACAGTCTAGTGGCAGGGAGGGAGGTAGACAGAGAACAGGTTATGGTATAATCACAGGTGTGATAAGTGCCTTGATATATAACAGACATCTGATCTCACCTGGGGTGTGTGGGGCAGCTTCCTGGAGGAAAAGATGTGGAAGACTGAGAGAAGTAGAGAGGGTGGGTGAGAGTGTTCCAGGCCAAGGAAAAAGCCTGTGTGAAGACCCCTGAGATGGGAAAGAGCTTGATGAGTTGAAGGGTCTGACATAGATCAATGTGGCAGAAGCAAGAGCAGAAAAGGCCCTTAATGCAAGGTGTATATATCAGATACTCCTTTCCTACTCTATCCCTCACCCCCAACACTACCATCTTCTCTTCTATGATAGATGTATTATATTTGGCTGTGCACAGTAGAAAAAACAAGTAAGGGGTAAAAGGTTTTATTCTGTGACTCATAAAAACAATCTGGGGGCAACTAGTTCAGAAACCTTCTAGCTCACTCTTCTGCTGTTTTGAGGTTATGATCCAAGATGGTTGCTGGAGAGCCACCTATCACATCTAAGTTGCCAGCAGCAACACAGGAGAGGAAGCTGAAGGGTGCTTACTTGCTTTACTTGCATCTCATTGACCAGAATTGATTTGCACAGTCTCATCTAGCTTTATAAGGGGGCTGGGTAACAGCAGCAGCAGCAGCAGCAGCAGTAGTAGTAAAGCTCCCAGCTGAAAATTGGATTTCTTTATGTGAATGAAACTGTTGGGTATGTTGTCTGTTGGGAAGGCATAATAAACTTGCAGAGGTTCCTCTGAGCTGCTCCCAGCACTGACCTCAGTCCTCTCCTTCCTGCAGACCCTTCTGAAGGTAGTGTATGTGGAGAATGATATCCAGCACCTGCAAGATATGTCACACTTCCCGGATCGGGGGAACGAAAATGGGATGCCTATGGACGTGAAAGCTGGGGTGCGAGTTATGCAGGTCAGTCCTGACGGCCAGCACCTGGCTTCAGGCGACCGAAGTGGAAATCTGAGGCAAGTGGGCCCTGGCCGGTGTCTCATGTGCACCACCCAGCTTGGGTCATGAGGGTGGTGGGGATTGTGCTGGCCTGGCACCTCTGGCTGCCCATCAGGAATTTAAGCAACAATCCAGGAGCCAGCCACCGTGCAGTTTAATTAAGCTGAGGAAGGATTTCTAAATGAACTGAGATCAGAGTACTTTGCAGGACCTCAACAGCTGTTCTGTGTGAATGCCACAGTGATGTTACAGGTGGGCAGGCACCTGTGGTGATGCAGTGGTGCTTCATTAGCCAGGTGGGACCACTCTGCAGAGTGGTCTGTGAAAGACCGGAAGTCCCTCGGTGAGCTGGATTGACACAATGACTACCATGTGCACTTGCTCATTACAGAGATCGTGAGGATGGCACAGACGAGGACAGAATTCACACCTGTTATTCACAGGGCCGTTAGGAGTTGTAGTAAGCTTGATGGCAACTAACAGCAATAAGCGCAGCAAGCACTGCTGAACTGTATGAGAAGATGCCAGGTAGAGCTTCGGGAGTCCTGGACGTGATCAGGGGCACAGTGTATTTGAGGATTCAGGCTGTTTATCCTGCCCAGAGGCCTGCAGGGATTTTTCAGGATGTTAACAGCCTAATATATGCTGGCAGAACATGTGCCTTGTCCCAGGGATCAAATGAAAGTTGACAAAAGATATGTATCATCTGAGTGTTGGGGGCTGTTGAAGGATGGGAGGCACAGGGTGGCACTGAAGAGTATGTACCCCATAAAGGGGCAGCCACCGTGCAGCACCAGGGATTTGAAATTTGTCATTTCTTCCTATTTATTGTCTAAGAACAGCACAAAGTGTAGACCTTTTTTCTTTTCTATAAAATGTAATGATTTTCAAAGGGTGAGAATTATATCAATCACTATGTAATACAAACCAAAGGTGCTGGTGGGCTGCTTACATTGATGGTGCCGTGGATGGTAGTAAGGGACTGCGCGGGTGTAGACTCTTCCCCCAGGCCAGACACTGACCGAGTGCTGCATGTAACGACTGATTTGTGATCTAAGCTCTTATGACCTCTATTTTCAGATTCGTTAACCAAGACAAGACAGGTCTAGTGGCTAGCTAAGATCACATAGAAAGAGTGCAGGAAAAGGGCTGAGTGTCTTACTTTACTCCCCACTGTCCTGTTATGTCCAACTTCATTTGGAAGGAAAATTAAGACTTGAGGCTTTAATAAGGACCTCTTATTCCACTTCTATCCCCAAGGGCCACCTCTGATACAGCTTGCCCTCCCCCCTGTTCCTCTAGAGGTTTGTCCTAAATTTTTGACAGAGGAGCTTCCTTGGGGGTGTATTTTGGCTCATGGAATCCCAAGGAGCTGGGTGTCAGTTGAAGTGCTACCAGGCTTAGAATCGCTCTATTTATAATGCGAGAGCAGATGTGACTGGGCATCTTGAAGTGGTTTACCAGGGTGCAGGGGAATCCATGTATCACCTATCTGGGTGCTCAACATTTCCTAGCTATGGCAGAGTACCTGGGGCTTGGGTGCAGGGCTCTGAAAAGGTATAGCTGACTGTGTATCTCCCAGGATCCATGAGCTTCACTTCATGGATGAGCTGCTCAAGGTGGAGGCGCATGATGCTGAAGTGCTATGCCTGGAGTACTCCAAGCCTGAGACAGGTGAGCCTGTGGTAGGGTTGCAGAGAAGTCGGTGGAGAAGTGGTTTCCTTGGCAGAGCCACATGAAGAGGGCTAGTTGACATCTAGTGGGATTATGGGTGGCAGCTGAGATCCTGTGTTTATAAGGGCCCCCATTGTCCAAAGAACAAACAAATATGTCTTGGAGAAAGTGCAGCCAGGGTGCTCTGTAGAGGCAATGATGCTCTGTAGAGGCAAAGATGGTTAGGGCATGTTGTCAGAAGTAGTTACTTAAAAAAAAGACACCATAAAATATAAAATAAAAAATTATTGGGGAGCTCTGGTGGCCTAGTGGCAAGGAGCTGCAACTAGAATCCCAGAGGCGAACGGTTCAAATCCACCAGATGCTCTGCCAGGTAAGGAGGGACAATCTCCTCCTGTACCAGTCAGATCTGATTTGACGGTACATGCACACAAAAATAATAAAATTAAAAAAAAAAAAAGACACCATACTTGAAAAAGAGAAAGAGAGGAAGACCCTCAACACAATGACTGCACCAGTGGGCTCGCGCCTGTAAGATAACGAAGGTGACACAGGATAGGGAAAGGTTACCGTACTGTAACCTTTGCCGACTCCACAGCACCTAATAACCACAATTGCTGGGCCCTGGCACCAGAATGGCTCGGACTCAAGAAAACAAGATAGGTGTGACCAGAACTTGGCCTGACTTACTCAACTGCTGGTCCCCAGTCCCTACAGTGTTCACACTGAATGAAGTGAATGTTGAATGGATGGATGAGTTAATCTTCTAAAGAAGATAGTAGCTGTTGTTAATGAAACCAATTTTGAAAACATTTTAAGCCTTCAGAAAAATTAGAGTTTTACAAAGAGCATGCCCCCATAGCCTTCATCCAGATTCTCAAGCTTTCTTCATTTCAGTCCTGTCTAACTCTGACTGCATGCATACTTTTATCTGCCTTCCCTCTTTCTCTGTGTATATGTCCACACACACATAATAAATAACAGCAAAAATATTACTACTGGCCTTTCCTCCATATTTCCTTTCAAGGAGGGAGGTCTGTTCCTTCAGAATGTAACTTTCTAATCTATTTTTACTCTTAAAAAAATTACTACTTTTTTCTTTTGCTGAATTAAGTTTCAAATGTGACACCTTATACTCTGAAAAACTTCAGCAAGCATCTCCTAGGAAAAAGAACATCCATTTATTTATCAAATTTGAAAAATTTCACTTTGTATTACACCATTACTGCTCCTGGGGCCTGTACTGGGTTTCTTCGTTGTTCCAGTATTTTGTACTAGAGCAGATCCACTCTTCCATCACCTTGATCCTGGCCCTTGCCACAGCCTCGGATTATGTTTTTTCACTTTGGCATTCTGCAGAAAATAGGCCAGTCATTTTGTAGATTTTTTTCCCCCCTCAATTTAGGCCTGCAGCCTCCTATATGGATTGAAGCTCAACATCAAGAAAACAAAGATTCTCACCACGGGGCCAATTGGCAACATCAGTATGGATGGTGAAGAGATTGAGATAGTTAACAGTTTTAGTTTGCTTGGCTCCACAATCAACAGTCTTGGTAACACCAGCCAGGAAGTCAAGAGATGAATTGCATTGGGAAAGTCAGCTGTGAGGGACCTATCAAGAGTACTGAAGAGCAACGATGTCAGGCTGGAGACTAAGGTGCGCCTGATCCGGGCTATAGTCTTCACAATTACATGCTATGCATCAGAGAGTTGGACAGTGAATAGGGATGATAGAAAGAGAATTGATGCCTTTGAGCTGTGGTGCTAGAGAAGAGTATTGAATATACCATGGACTGCTAGGAGAACAAACCAGTTTGTCCTGGAGAAGGTGAAGCTGGAATGCTCCTTGTAGTCAAGGATTCTGAAGCTTTGTCGGACATACTTTGGGCATGTTGCAAGGGGGGACTGGTCCTTCGAGAGGGACATCATATTTGGCAGAGTGGAGGGGCAGCGAAGGAGAGGAAGACCTTCGATGAGATGGATCGATTCAGTGACTGGGGTAATTGGGATGGGAGTGTCAGAGACAGTGCGATTGGCACAGGACAGAGCAGAGTTTAGAGCTCTTGTACATAGGGTCGCTATGAGTCGCAAGCGACTCGATTGCACATAACAACAATAATTTGAACTTGCCCATGTCCTTGTTATTTCATTCAGATATACTTTTCTGGGAGGAATATGACATAGATGGAATTGTATCCTGGAGATGGTGATATTAAACGGTGATTTTCCCACATTTTTTTATTTCTTTCATCATCTAGCACACTAAGTTAAATTGTCTTTAATTGCCTTCTTTTCAGTCTACCTCTGCTGGTCTTGTGGTAGGCCTCAGGGGTACCGCATCACCAGAGCAGGTAGGTACTCTCTAAGGGGTGTCAACAGGGAAGACTCAGTCAGCAGAAAGAATCATGCCAGTTGGGCGGTCAGTAGGACCTGGACAGTGCTTACACCAGGCCTATGTGGTCAGTGGTTTCAGATGAGGCAGAAGTTGGCAGGGCTTCACATGCCCAGGAGATGGGCTCAGCAGGAAAGAATGCCTGTCTCAGTTAGGAATGCCATGTCTGTGTGGGTGTAAGGGAAGTGGCATCCGATATCTGCCATGATTCCTTTTCCTGAACTAGTGGCATGGAGTGTGGATCACCAGGACTGAGGGGCTCTAGGGAGAGACCAACTCTGGTGGCCTTGTGGTAAGAAGCTGCATTGCAATCTCAAGGGCACGTGGTTGGACTCCAGCAGTTGCTTTGCAGGAGAAGGATGGGCTTTATCCTCCCATGGGCTTTACTGCCTCTGAAAACCCTCTGGAGAGTCAGCTATGGTTTGATTCCAACTTGACCACACACAACAACAGCAACAAGGGAGAGACCACACAGAATAGTGGGAGGGGTCTTTTCAACTTACTTTTTGGGATGGGTTAGTTGCAGTTCTGGAATCAAGCCCTCTTTTCCCAAGCACTGGAAAGCTCGATGGTTCTGCTCTTGTGGAGGCCAAGGCACCTGAGCGCCTTCTGAGAATTCAAATGTGTCCTCTGCACTGACAGGAGTGACCCTGCTGGCCTCAGCCAGCCGGGACCGACTAATCCACGTGCTGAATGTGGAGAAGAACTACATCCTGGAGCAGACTCTGGATGACCACTCCTCCTCCATCACGGCCATCAAGTTTGCCAGTAAGCCCCTTCCTTCCTGCACCTCATTAGGTGGGCTCCTTCAGTAGAGGTAACAGCAGAAACACCCTGTAGCTTCAACAAAAAAGAGAGCAAGCTCTGAATTCAAGGATGTAATATTTTCAAAATCAGAATTCTCTCCCCTGTCAGCTCTGCCTTTTCTAGTGGGCAGGATCATGTGTCAGTGGAAACAGCTCCTTCTATCGAGGGAGTCCTGGTGGCTCAGGGTGAGGAGCTGTGCCACCAGCCCTAAGGCAAACAGTTTGAATCCACCAGGCTGCTCCTCAGGAGAAAGATGGGCAGTCTCATCCCTTGCAATTTGATGCCTCTGGAAACCTGCTGGAGGGTTAGCTATGTGTCAGTTCAGACTCGATGGCATACATAATAACCTTTTTCTATCAGTTGAGAGCTGACTTTTCCTGTCCTATTTAGAAGCTCCTGTCCTCAGAAATCATCAGCAGTGCTAGGGCTTCAGGGTGTTCTCTCAGACCTGGCCTAATTTACATGCCTCTTGCCTCCACTTCCTGATTACTGACATCAGGAAATTGCTGACTCACAAAAGGAAATCCAGGTACTAATACTATGAGATGGTGGGATGGACAGTGGGCTGATGGGGGAGCTAACTCTGTACCAGGCAAGAACCTTGCAGCATGTGAATTGGGCGTGGTTCTTCCCGATACTCCTTACCTCCATTGTACAGCAGAGGAAACAAAGGCTCAGAGAAGTGAGACTACCTGCCCAGAATCACATTGTCATAGGTCCAGAGTCTAAGCCTGTTTTCCAAAGCTGTCATTGCAGTCTACATAAGAACCCTACAGTTTCAACGAGGAAATTGGAAGGATTCTTGCAGACTAGAAAGATTCAATATGGTGTTCCCTGACCTGAAGGTACTCTGAGAGGTCAGAATAAAAACAAGAATGCTTACAGTGCTGACCATATGACAGACACTGTTCAAGGGCTTCACACACCAACTGTGGGGAAAGCGCTGTAATAGGGACCATTGCACATCAAGAAACTGAGGCTCAGAGAGGAAACTAGGTTCAGACCTGCTTTGTCTTTGGCACCAAAGAACATGTGAGTTCAGCTCTGGCCCTGTCCTGACTCACTTTGCATATGGAAGATGTGTAGTGGGATGGGTTGGCAAGCGTTCAGGGAGAGGTGGGCAAGTGGCCCAGCATGGGGCCTCGTCCCATGTGTGCATGATTACTTTTGGTGGCATAGCCTCCTGACAACCTGCCTGCCTCCCCTTATTCCTGCTCCTCCACCCTGCTGCCCGCGTGGGGGATGCTGCTTCTCGTATGCCTTTGTTTCTTCCCATGGGTCGTGCTTGCCACCTCATGCAGCCCTACCTTTCGGTGTCCTACCTCCAAGCCAGCCCAGCTCTGACCTCACCCACCTCTTCCTGCCCAGGTGGAATTGGTTAATTTTCTTTACAGTGCAGTTGCCTAGTGGGCCAGGCCTGCCTGACATACTTCCTCCTCCGCTTACCCCAGGCAACAGAGACATCCAGATGATCAGCTGTGGGGCCGACAAGAGTATCTACTTTCGCAGTGCCCAGCAGGTGTGGTGGGTAGCCTCCCTGGGGTTGAGGTGGAGCTTGTCAGGTATCCTATGACGATCCTCTCTGCCATATCAGGCCTCAGATGGACTACATTTTTTCCGAACCCATCATGTGGCAGAGAAGACCACCTTGTATGACATGGACATTGACATCACCCAGAAGTACGTGGCTGTAGCCTGCCAGGACCGTAACGTGAGGTGAGTCACTGACGCAGCCTGAGCTGTCTCTGAAGGACCCTGTAGAAGGTGACTGAGAGGTGCAGATGTAACTCAGGCATCCCACCCATGTTCCCGTAGTTCTTACCTGAGCTGGACAGTGCCGGGGCTCACCAGACGGGGTAGCACAGAGTAGTCACAGAGCTGAGATGGGGGAGGCGTACCCCCGGGCAAGCCCACCCTGGGGCAGGCAGGGCTTTTAGGAGGTGAAGACTATTAAGCTAAGACTGGGAAGGTTCAGGAGTGAGTTGAAGGAAAGGAGGGGCAATGTACAGAGGACAGGGCATGTACAGAGGTTCCCTCCTCTGTCACTTGCTCATTCAAATCAAGTGCTGAGCACTAAGCATGCAGAATGGTGGGGGACACAGACTCAATAGACACCCAGATGGATAGCCTCAGCCTGAGATGTGCTGTCAATCCCTGAGACTGTGTGTCAGTGGGGGACAGAGGTAACAAGGGCTTTGGAAGAGGTGGATATCAGGTTTGGCTGGAAGTGGAGGGTGAGTGTATTACGGCTTGTGGACTATGTTATGCCACCCCCTCCCCAGAGTCTACAACACTGTGAATGGGAAGCAGAAGAAGTGCTACAAGGGCTCCCAAGGTGACGATGGTTCTCTGCTGAAGGTAAGGAGCAGGGCTTGTTGGCTACCTGGAACCTTTGCCCTCGAGCACCTCACCCAGCTCCCAGGCTGTTGGAGGGAGCAGAGAAACAGACTTTCTCACTGGCCAGCACCTACTCAGGCCACCTGACCCTGGAGGCTTGGGAATGGGGGTGGAGTAAAGGTGGGTGGTTTACCTTCTTTACCAAGTCTTCAAAGTAAGGGGCACCAGGTTGTGGTGGGAAAAACTAGAAAAGCCTGGGCTCCTCTCCTTCCTTGCCCTCACCCAGACGCGTGGGATCCAGGAAATGTTGGGGACACTCAGAGCCTCTGCATGAGGAGAGTTAGGAGCTCAGACCCCAGCATGGCTTTGGTCTGACAGTGACCTGCTTCATCACCTGTAAGATGCAAGTCACAACAGCCCCTATCATGGGATTGTTCTGTGGAAGAAACAAGTTCATGCACATACAGCTTAGCATGGGGCCTGAGTACCATTATAGCTACTGTTATGGTCCATTTCTTCGCCTGTGAAATGGGTATAGACGTTCCAAGTAAATCGTACCAGGATGTGTGTCATGAAGGACAACCCCAAAATTCCATTGTCCTGCCTCCAGCTCAACGGATTATAATCCCTGGCCTAGGTTTCAAGCAGCAGATAGGCCCAGGGTCACGTGGATCTTCTTTCTGCAGGTCCACGTGGACCCCTCAGGTACCTTCCTAGCCACGAGTTGCTCAGACAAGAGCATCTCAGTGATTGACTTTTACTCAGGCGAGTGCATTGCCAAGATGTTCGGCCATTCAGGTGAGCATGACCCTGTTCGCCACAGGATGTCCATCCATCCTCTACCCCCACGGCCTTCTCACTGAGAAGGTTCTCTGTCTGCCTATAGAAATTGTCACTGGCATGAAGTTCACCTACGACTGTCGCCACCTGATCACAGTGTCTGGAGACAGGTGGGAACGGCCTGCGAGGCTGCCCCTGGCTGGGCCTCTCGCTGTCTCTACTGGGCCCTCTGCTGGGTAGGGAAGGGGGTGTCACACACCAGAGACGCTGTGCTCACAGCCTCCTTGTGGAGGTGACTTCTCAAGTTCCCAGGTCAGTGCCATCTTGGGAAGAGTGCTGTACCCAGCCCTGAGTTTAGATTCTAGATATGCCCCTTGGGCTTTGGCCATGTCCTTTCCCCTCTGAGCTTCAGTGTGCTTGTCTGTAGGTGATGACACTATTTGCCTTGTAAATGATACAGTGAGAATCAGATGAGATGATATAGAGACATTCTTTTGCACCTGATCAATGCTCTGTCCCTCCCTTTGAGTTACCATGACCCTTTCTTACATCTCCCTCTTGGATCCTGAGTCTTACTTCCAGAGCAAGCCCTAGTTGGCTAGGGTGTTCCGGGGCCCAGGCCCAGGGTGTGGGACAAGACAGGGTCTGGTGCTCCTGCACTAAGCAGATAGAGTGTGTGCTTGAAGAGGGGCTAAGGGACGAGGTGTCAGCTGTGGTGACCCTGGTGGCTGCCATGTTCACTGTTCCTCTTCTTCACCTCATTGGTCTCCGTAGCTGTGTGTTCATCTGGCACCTTGGCCCGGAGATCACCAACTGCATGAAGCAGCACCTGCTGGAGATAGACCACCGTGAGCAGCAGCAGCACGCAAAGGACCAGAAGTGGAGCAGCCACCCCAGGTGCTGGCACATGTCTGACCAGCCCCCAGCTGTTCATCCACCGGGAGTGTCTCCCTGTCCTGGCCTTCATGAGCTTGATGCTGGGGACGTAGCTACAGCCAGAACAGCCTTGGATTCTGCCCTGTTGCACTGGCAGCCTAGAGGACAAACTTTCGATACAAAATTACAGTGTCATATGACCATTTCTTTACTTCTGGAGATTGAGTCATCCATCTCAAGAGTCTCTTTCTTTCTCTCTGAGATGTATCTTTTCCTAATAAACGATCTTGTCTTTCACATTTAAATAAAACCCAAGCATACAGTAAGAGTTCTAGGTAGAAAAATGCAGTGCTTTAGAGAGCCTTTGAACACTGCTTGGGAAGCCCCACCACCTGAGGGGACCAGAGCGGTCCTGACCCAGCAGCTGCGGGAACAGAACAGGAAGGAAGGGCTGTAGGGGAGGAGACGGCAGAGCAGAGATGTCCTCTTAACGGGGGAGAAAGGACTTTTAGTTTCATAGTTTGTTGAGTTTGGTTTGGGTTTTTGGTTTTTGTTTGCTTGGGTTTTTTGGTTTTGTTGTTTTTGTTTGTTTGTTTGTTTTTTGCTGTAATCTGAAAGTTTGCAAAGCAAACTTGATTTTTACACTTAACCATGCATACACTTATTTAGAACACTAACTAAATACCTGCATATTCTCCCACTTCTCTCTGACTCTTGTTGCCACCATCCTCCTTATCCCTTCCTGCCTTGTAAGCTCTATTTCTGGACAGATGTTGTCCTTCTGGTCTTACTTGGTTGATTATTCTAGGGAGTAAGCAATGCCCTGATGGTGTTACTCTGGCATCCTGTTTGGCTAACAGTTGAATCTCAGGGTTGAGTTGTCCCAGGCCCCAAGGATGACTGAGGGCCACAGTCTTGGGGGTTCCACTAGTCTTTATCAGATCATTAGCCTGGTTATTTTTGCTGTTTTTTGATGTTGTTCCGCATTTTTTAAAATTCTCTTTAAATGAAAGTTCTTTATTTTAGTCTTGTAAATTTTTTTTTTAAATCTTTATGCCACAAATCCAGTTTTACTTGGCGCAATTCATGGTCTAGTTTTGATTGGGTTTGGGAGGTTCATCTGGAGTGGGAGGTTTGGGGTTTTCTCTTTCCTGCCTCTCAGTCTCTTCCTGATTGTTTCTGTCATAGGAGTTGGCTGTTCTCCATGAAGGCTCCTAAGACCCCTCTTAAGACCAAGCCTTGTCAGGGGCCATATATTCCAATAAACACACCGAGGGAGGGGTAGCTCCTTCAGCTCCTAGTTTTGAAGCACACATCCTCTAGGGCTGTACCTTGTATTCCAAAGGGTCCAGAATCTCATTGCTACCACCTGCTCCCTTGATAGGAAACCAGCAGCCCAGGACTTCAGCTCCACTCTGCTTTCTGGCCCACTGCTGTGGCTTTTGGAAAGTGTGTCTTATTTTTTTGAGGCTTGCTTTTGTTCTGTCTCATTTATTGGAGAAATGTGTTTCTAATGGAGAGGACCTAGCTGGTGAGACTTAGCAGTCATGCTGACCACAGCAGAGAGTAGATTCCTAAGAAGTGCAGCACAAGTCCTAGGGGAGGCCCCCTCGCCCCCAAGCACACATTTCCCTCTATTTCTCTGGCTTTAGGCAGGAGACCTATGCATCCATGCCCAGTGAGAATCACTCCCTAAACCCTGGAGAACAGACAGAGGATGAGCTGGAGGAAGAGTGTGAACCTGCGGAGCTGCTAAAGACGCCATCCAAAGAAAGCTTGGATCCAGGTTGGGAAAGGGGGCCAGCCCTGTTGTGAACTTCGTCAAGGTCGGGATCATTGCAGCATTTTACTCCCAACTTTGTTTTTGGGGCCAGTCATCTCCCAGGAAGTTGTAAGCAGAGTTTATTGGTTCATTTAACACGTTGCCGCACACTTTTAAATTGATGACCGTGCTTAGAAGCACATTTTTTTCGATGTATTACCATCATTTGCACCAACGTGTTAACGGAAAAAATTGAGTACTGACTCCAGGGGTGACTGGTTGTGGGTAAGGAGGTGTTGAAAGGCACACCAGCACGGGCTTCTCCATCTCTGGGCTCTGCTTTTCTCTCTCGGCTTCTTTCTCAGTCAGACTCTCCCTTTATGGGAGATTGATTTCTCTCCCCCCGGCTCCCGCAGCTCCCCAGAGAAGAGGGCACCTTTTTTCCTAATCACTCCAGGCTAAGTCCTGAAGTTGTAACTCACGATCCTCATGTGAGTCATGTGCCCATTTCTGATCCATCTTGATAGGCCACACTGGAATATCACCTCAGAAGGAAGGAAGAGCTGAGGAGAGTAAGGGAATATCCCAGGAGGAAAACGAAGCCAGGATAGATTCTGTGGTCCAGGGAAAAAGGAGCAAGGGGCAGCTTGACAACTTGATAAGCAGCCACTCTCTCACGAATGTCTGCCTCTCTGTATGTTACTTTGACTCAGCCCCTTGGTTGCAGATTGACTATCTAAATTCCAGGCATCAGAGACTTCACTGATGAGGAGAAGCGTTCCCTCCGAGAATTTCTCTGAAAGGACATATGCTCAGGCTTTGCTGGGCTCCCACTGCAGGGCTGCTCTAGCTCCGAGGCTGGAAACAGTGACCAACTGTCGCCTTTAGCATGGTGGTGAGCTCTGCTAGTGAGGAGACAGGAAGGATGATGATTCATCCTAATTTTTCTCATCACCCTCTTATGCCCAATCTCAGTGTCCTCTCCAATGTATACCAAACAGAAACATCTTTTAACCAGGAGCACAGTAGCTTTTTAAAGTCATTTGTTTCAGAGTGGGCACTGAAGTTTTCCCCTTATTTTACACTTTGTGGATGAGGCTGCCTCCCAGGGTCTGTGTGAGTGATTTTTTGGATGGAGGTTCTGAGCAGGTGCTGGGCTGTGGGCTTTGGACCTAGACGAAACCACCAAAGGGCTCCAAAGATTCAGTTACCAGCCCAGTGAGCAATCCCCTCTGTTCCCCCACACCCTTGCTAATATTTAATATTCCTTAGCATTTTCATTCTAGTTAATGTTGGTCCGTTTTGGTCAACGAACAACATTGTATCCCACTGTTAAGACCTACATTCCCCTGAGGGTTTGTGAGCCTGAGCTCATTTGTTGTGCTGTCACTCCTGCATTACTTCTCTGGTGAGCTGCTGCCTGCTGTTCATGTGTCTGTTGCTGTGTGTGTTCTGTTTTCATGGATCTCCTGTGTCTCTGCAGATCCTCAGTGCCTGCTGACCAATGGCAAACTGCCACTCTGGGCCAAACGACTGGTGAGTCTGCTAAGAAATTGGGTAAGAGGGTTCCCCAGAATGAGAAGAACCCAGAGAGGAACGTTCCCGTCAGAACCATCTGCAAGAGCAAAAGCAATTTTGAAAGTAGAGCTGAGTAAGGGAGAGGAATGGCCTAGACCACATCAAGATGGAATAATTGTTGACTTGTAGGCAAGGCAGGCTGGGGGAAGTGGATTAGGAACTCACAGCAGAATCCTAAATCCCAGGTTTGAGAGTTCATTTTAGGAACAACGTCAGACCTTGTCATTTTGAAAAGACCAAAGCTCTCCCTCCCCGACTACAGGTAGGGGAGACTTGGGGAGTGAGATTACCTCAGCGCCTTTGCATGTGCTTGTCCGTCTGCCACAACTGTTCATTCTCATTCCTACTCAACCTTCAAATCTAAATCAGGTACTCAGGGAAGTTCTCTCTGAGACCCCCTATGCTACAGATCAGGTCGGACCATCTGAATAACTAGATCTTTGGCCCCCCCCCAAGCATTTCCTTATCAGTGCATATTACAATTAGAATTACATCCGGTGTAGGCTATTTTCTAAACCCGTAACTATCTCACTGCTCAGTGTAATTCCTTTGAGAGATTAATTTTTCTCATCCCCATTTCATAAACTGAGGCCTAGAAAGTTACATAACTTATCTAGGGTCACACCACTAAGAATCAGGACTTGGTCTGGGATGTCAGCAGGCTGGCTTCAGAGCATGTTTTTACAACCACCTTCCTGTCTCCCAAGCAGCAGTCTTGGGAGAAAGCAATGTGATAGGACCAAAATGAAGAGGCCACATTTTAAGGATGTTTAGAAGCCAAAGAGGCCAGAATTTGCTGATGAAATGCATGTAGAGTATAAGGGACAGAATAAGGGAGAATGATGATGGATAATCCCAGGACTTGGGGCCTTAACAATTGGAAAGAATAACAGGAATGGAGAAGCCTGAGGTTCTGAGGAAAAGCGACGTGGTTGAGTTTATAGCATGTTAACTTTCAGGTATCTGCTAAATGTCCTTGCAGAAATGTGGAGTGGTTGCACATGTGATTTTGAAGTTTAAGGGAAAGGCCTGGGCTGAAAATAGGAATCTGGAAGTTTAAAATATGTGTAAAGTCAGGAGACTGCACAGTGCCAGCAGCCCTCGCCAGCCTGAGTGTGGACTTGGCCTAACTGTCCTGTGTCCTCAGCTGGGAGACGACATACCGGATGGCTCGGCCTTCCAAGCCAAGCGCAGCTACCAGCCCCACGGCCGCTGGGCGGAGCGGGCTGACCGGGAGCCACTCAAAACCATCCTGGATGTCCGGGACCTGGATTGCTACTTCACCCCTATGAAGCCTGAGAGCCTGGAGGACTCTATGCTGACTACATTGGAGCCTCAGAACCTGGCCACCCTACTGAATGAGGTACCCCAGGCCTGCAGCCCCAGCACCATGGCAGCCTCCATAGCTCTCAGTCTGAAGGCAGGGCTGACTCTTCCCACTTTAGGGAGGCAGAGTAAATTCTGTGAAATTGTGGGGGACAGGAGGGCAAGCTCCAGGTCCAGAAGACAGCATGGCATTCCAGGACAGAGAAGGTATTCTGGGAGAGCAGGTGATGAGCCGAGAGCTTGGACCCTAAAGCAGACCAGATCCCGAGGGAGCGCCCTGGCCTGCTCATTCCTGGCTGAGTGATCTGGAACAAGAAGCTTCCTTGCCTCTTTGGCCTCAGTTTCCCCATTTTAAAAATTGCTGTTTAAAACAACCTTTTCCTTTCAGGGCTTTTATGAGGCTCCAGTGGTAAGACCAGGCCTGGGTCCTTAGAGGTGCCCAAGCAGTATTGTTTTCCAAATATAATTCCTTTACATCCTGCTACATAAATGTTTTTGGTTTTTTTAACAAATGTTTCTAAATCATAATTATTTGTTCAATTTATTTATGGGTTCAGTAAATCCATGTATTGATCACCCAAATCAAAACAGAAACATTCCTCCTTGTGCCTCCCTGAGTCGGTCACCCAGCCACCATCCAAGGTACTGACGTGGCCTCTTACCATAAATTGGTCTTCCTGTTCTTGATCTTCATAGAAATTGACTCTTAATAGGCCTCCTCTCATTTTTTTAAACCTTACCCATTCCTTATCTGTAAAGAGGGGAACAGAATGAGCTCATGGTGGGAAAACCCTCGGCCAGGCCCTGACCCACCGTGAATGGCACCATCATTGGTATCACAGCTGGAGACCTGTGAGAGCCCTGGTTGCCATGGCACCTGAGTGGCTGCATTTTCTTCATCTCCTAGTCAAAGAGTCCCCAGGAGAATGACTGTGGGCATCCTTCCTTCCTGCCCCTACAGAGGGAGCTTGAGGCCAGCAAGCCTATCATCTACTCCATGGAAATACCAGTGCTAGTCACGGGGACAGAGAGGTGGGTGTCCTTTGCACAGAGGAAGCCTCAGTGGACAGGTCTCCCCTAGGAAAATAGTCCTCCCCACCTCCCCAGAGGCCCTGGGGAGTCCTAGACAGGACAGGAGTGGGCTCACCTACAGCCTCAGTTTCTCATTGCAGGTTCATGAGGCTTCTGCAAGAAGGGGTGTTTGGGCAACTTGGGCAGGCTTAGGCATGCCCCAATCTAAGCTGTTACACCCGCCCCCCCCCCCACTTACTCCTTTTGTGCTGCAGCAAGTACTGCATCCAGGAAGTAGATGAGGGGCCCATTGACCAGCAAGATGACTCCTACCTCAGAATGTCCTCTTCTGGCTCAAAGGCACAGAGCTGCCCTGAGAGTGAGTAACACGCAGGCTGGGCCCGGGGCCTGGTGCAGTGTGTCCTGCTTGTTCAGCCAGGTCCCAGTCTGAGTGCTATGGCAAATCTCCCAAAGCTGAGAGGCAGTGGCAGAAAACTGACCCAGCCCCTGCTGTCACCTGACCACCTCCTCAATGTGTAACGTTGCTGGTCCATAAAAATGAGGGGTACTATTCCATTTGGGGAAACTGAGGCCCTGAACAGCAGGCTCACCCATAAAAATCCTAGCTATGAGCTCCTGACCCCACCCCTACATTCTGCTCCTGCAGACTTGGGGAAGTTGGAGACAGACCTGGAGTGCAGCTTTTCCGCCATCCACTCCCCTCCACAGCCCACCCCCGACCCTCAGTTTGACATGATGGTGCCCCATGCACCAGGTATGTAAGGTATGGGGTCTGGCTTGTCTAGGGGACAGAACCACTGGCCCCATATCAGCCCTGAACCTGGAACTCACTAAGCCCCAATCTCTTCTCCTGGAAGGTGGGGCCTTTCCTCCTCAGCCTGGTGACAGCAATTGTGTGACAGGTGAGGCCAGCTCTCTGCTTTCTCATGCCTTCCATGACTCCTGGTGTTGCCAGCTTCCCTCCTCATCTCCCCTCCCTCTCTGCTCCTTCGCCTCTCAGAAGGCCTGAGCTCTGGAGAAGAAGAGATGGTCCTGCCCGACGTTCCAGGCTTGCCCAGCAGCTCCTTGCCCCAGACCCCTGAGCAGAAGTTCCTCCGCCACCATTTCGAGACACTTACCAATGCCCATCCTGAGGGTATGCCCTCCCCCTCTAAACCCTGCCTTGTCCCACTGTGCTGATGTGAGGTAGGGGTGGGACTGAGTTGCACGGTTCTCTTTCTTCACTCCTGAGCTGAGGTGTATGTGTTGTATCTGTTGATGGGGGTTTCTGGGAGTCTACCTACTGGTCTGAGGGTCTGCATGGGGCCAGAACACGTTGGCTGAAGGGATTCTGAGGTTCCCTCAATGTCTTCCTAGAGCTCTTCCACAGGCCACTGAGAGATGTGGAGGCCTCCGAGGCGGAGGAATTCTTCCTTAGTCCCCGGCTGAGCATCTCTGCCCAGTTCCTCTCCCAGCTGCAGAAGAAGCCCAGGTAGAGCTAAAGAACCCTGACTGCTTCCTCATCACTGTGTACCGACCACCCAGGGCAGGCTGGGTCCCCTCAGACCCCCAGGGCAGGCTAGGTGAGTGTGCCTCCCCAGCATGGGTTTCTCCCCACAGATTCACCCACTCCTTCCCTTCCGGGTTGCCCTTGTACCTCACAAAGTCCTCAGAGGTCAAGACCATGGACCAAGGGGAGACCCAGCCCAGAGCAGAGGTCCCAAGGGCAGGCACTGGCTCCCCCTCCCTAGCCCGGACTAACGTGAGTATTGGGGTTCCTTCCCTCAGGATGTGGGGCTAGTGGCCAGGAGGCTTTGTCCTCATCTCAGCAATGTGCTTACAGGTCCTCTCTAGAGGGAAGACTGAGGAGCTCCTTAAGACCCTGGAGGCCTGGCACCCACTGAGTAAGTCCCCACTCAACAACCCTGGCTTTCTCAGTGGTGGCTCTGGGTGTCCAGCTGGGCTGAGTGGGGTAGAGGCACAAAGCACAGCTGGGGTATGAGAGTGAGCGGTCTGCTTCCTTTCCAGCCCCCTGCCTCACAGGCCTGGTGCCTTGTGCTCCCTCCTCATCAGTGCTGCCCACAGACAGGAGGCCTGCGCCACCTTCATCTGTACCCACCTCAGGCCTCGCTCAGGGTGTCCACGTTCCTCCCACCCACTCCTACATGGAAACCACTGCAAGCTCCCGTGCCAAGATGGCACACAGCATCTCCCTCAAGGAGCATGCTGGTCCTGTTCTCGCTGAGACAGCCCGGCCCCTCTGCAGGCCCTCATCCCTGGGGGAGCTGGCCTCCCTGGGCCAGGAACTCCAGGCCACCACGCCGGCAGCTCCCTGTTCCAGCCCTGAGGACCCAGAGCCTGACCTGCCCTCCTGGGGCAACCACGAGGCCCGGGCTGGTCCGAGACTGACCCTGACAAGCACCTGTGACAGGTTCCTGCTGTCCCCACCCCCACAGGAGCCACCCACCGCATGTGCCTGGTCCCAGAAGCCTGTGGCTGCCCCGTGTTATGCTACAGCAGTCAGCTTCCTGCCCCACAGCCCTGTGCACACGGGGGCCCTGCTGCTTCACGAGGATGCCTTCCTCCCAAGATTCCCTGTCCCCCAGCCTCTCAACTCTCCAACCCACCCTGATAATTCCCAGCTTCCAGAGACCAGGCCAGGGATTCCTGGGAGCCCTACCTCCCTCCTTGAGCCTCCTCCTGGTGAGTGCCATGGTGGGGTCAAGGGACTGTCCTCTAAGCTCACCTCATGCACCAGTTGGGCACAGGGCTGGGCCATCATTCCTTAGTCTATTCATTTGACAAGTATTTCGTGAGCACCTTGTCCATGTGGGGCTTTCTTGTAGGCCCTCGAGACATGGGACATGGAGGTAAACAAGACCTTGGAAGTATCTTCCCCCAGAGAATTGGTTCCTTTAACTGGGGGAGAGCTGTCCAGACAAAACGTAGAAGGAAAGTGTCAAGTGTATCATAAAGTCGTACGCACTGCAGCGTAAAGCTGGGAAGGGGTTGAGGTTTGCAATTGTAAACAGGATGATGATGAGGAGAGACCTCAGGGAGAAAGTAGCAGTTGAGCAGAGCCCTGCAGCGTGGGAGGGAGAGACCCTTGGGAACTAAGTGAGTGTGTTCCAGACAGACATCAAGGCCAGCAGCTGAGATCATCTAAACCATCTGGTTTCTTTCAAACCTGACAGAGTGTAGCAGCCTCTTACTACCTTTCTTTACCCTCAGATGCAGACAGGCTGGCCCAGAGTAGTCCTAGACATTGGGGCGAACCCAGTGTGCCAACTGGGGGTGTGCCCCCAGTTCCCCTTGAGCTGAGCAATGCAAAGACCATCGTGCACAGGCTGCAGACTGCCTTCCAAGACGCACTTGACCTTTACCTTGTGGTGAGCCAAGCCCCAGTGTTGGAGGGAAGGGCTGAGGGGACTGCCTGGCCTCGCGGTCCCTGACAAGCCTCAGCATTCCCTGCAGGTGGTCTCCAGTGGCCAGGTCAGCGCTGAGCAGCAGGAGGCACAGGCTGCGCTGGCTTCCACCTTCCTTTGGATCCACCGCAAGTTGGAGGCGATCTGGCTGGATAGGACAGAGATGGCACCAAACCAGGCCCTGCCCAGTCCTGGTCCCCCATCTCCACCTACCCTCTGTCCACTGGCCAACCCTGATTTGCGGGCCCTGCTGGAACACTACTCAGAACTGCTGGTTCAGGCCGTGCAGAAAAAGACAGGAGGATACTGAGAGCTGCAGCCTCTTCCACTGCAGTTCTGCTACTTCTAAAGAGCTATTTTAAGCAAGTAAATTCACAGCTTAAAGGAATAAACTGTTTGCGGTACATGTCCTGGCCCGTTCATTTCATCCCCTTCAAGCAGATACAGAAGGGCCAGTGGTGACCCTCACATGGATCTGTCTAGGGTCCTCATGTTTGCACCCATCCCAGGCCCCTGTGCCGGGACTGTTATTAATGGAGGGCATGGGTCCAACTTGCCCCAGACATTTGGGGCCATAATGATATTGCCAAGGCTTGGCCTCCCTCATCCTTTTCCCTGGTCCAATCATAGAGGTCATTTGTCATCCTTGCCCAGTGAAACTCATCTCTACCACAGGAGAGCTAGCCCCTCTTCTTTGTCTTCTTCTAATACCCAGAAACTTGAAAGCAGGAGTGGTATCCACTTCCTAAACAACATGCCTCTGGAAACTGAACTTTGATAAATGTCGGTAGTTGTAGAGGGGCTTCAGGCCTCTTGTTCATAGGGTTGCTATGAGTCATGCTCAATTCAAAGGCAGTCAACAATACCCAAGAACCCACAGCAACTCTTAAAATCCCTGTATGCCAGACCTTGCCCACTAGCACCCGCACTGCCCTGTCACTGACTCACATGGCCCAGATCAGAGCTGTCCTCATCTGCATCAGGGTAACAGGAAAGAAGGGCTTCACAGTGGACTATCCCAGTCTGTCCCATGCCAACCAGTAGCAAGGGCAAAAAACACCCAGCAGAACTGTGCCTGGTGACAACATCCTGTGAGCTCCCGGCACCAGTCTAATCTCTCCCAGATGTAGTTGCATTTGCCAAGGGTGCTCATGGCCACAAAAGCCCCCATTATCCCAAGTTCCTATTCCCACCAGATGGCTTGCTGTTATCTAAACCCCCATATGCCTGTTAGGATCCTGTTGTTTGATGATTCTGGTCCATCAAACTGGTTCAAAGAAAGCTAGTGTTTTGCTCAGGGCCCTGTAGAGCTGAGAGCTTGCCTGGTGGCCTATTCACCAGCATGAGACCTGACAAACACATGATGCGCATCACAGTGAATCACAATTATCTTAGAGATTCTGCTAGCCCCTGGTTCCTGCAACTATTCCAGAGGCTAGTAGGGCAGGGAACAGGACACTTGCCTTCTAGAAGCAAAGCAAACGTGAGAAATAATATAAATCCATTACAGTCAATTTTCAACACAGGTTACAGACCAGTCGGGGAAAGGATAATCTATATCTTTGACAGATAGTGTGAGGACAATTGGATGTTCACATGCAAAGAATGAAGTCAGCCCCTTAACCCTCCACACTAGATTTAAAAAAACAAACTCAAAATGGGTTAGATTAGTGGGTACATGGGCTGAGAAAAAAAGGGAATGTAGACTTACATGCTTAATAAGTACAGGGTTTCTGTTTAGGGTAATGAAAAATTTTGGAAATAGTAATGGTTGCACATTTTAAATATAACCATATACTTTTAAAAGTTTACTATTGGTTACCAGAGAAGAAGGGAAAGAAGCCTTAAAAAGCACTGAGTTTACAGTAATGGAAATGTGGCAATGGATACTGCTGATAGTTGCACAACACAATTGCTGTCATGTGCTGAGTTGAGTAGGACACACAGTGACCTATGAACAATGGCTCTGAACTGTGCCCTATCCTGTGCCAACCTCAACACATTTGAGCTGGTGGTTAAGTCACAATGTCCAGTCCATCTCATTGAAGACCTCCTCTCCTAACCGTCCATCTTTCCAAGTATGTTCTATGTAGCCCTCCCCTTACAACATGCTCAAAGTATGTGAAAGCGTCATTATCCTTGCCTCCCAAGGACCACTCTGGTTTCGTTGTCTCTAGCACAGACCTGTTTGTTCTCTTGTCCATGTGATAATCAGTACTACTCTCCAGTCTCACAACTCAAAGGCATTGATTCTTCTGTCATCCTGTTTCCTTGTCCACCTTTCAGATGCATAGCAAGTAACTGATAACACTATGGCTTGGATTAAGTGCCCCTTAGTCTTTCAAACAACATCATTGCTCTTTAATACTCTGGAGAGGTCCCTGAGAGCAGATTTTCCCAATGCCATTTGTTTTAATTAAAAAAAAAAAAAAACACAAACACAAACAAAAAAACCCCCACAAAGCCTGCTTTTTTTAGTGTATCAAGATGCCAACCAGCAATTTGGAAGAGATGACGTTAATACAGTAAACATCATCAAAGCAAATAAAAATACAGATGTATCTGAAATGGCCTTTTCAGTAACATGATGCCTTAATAAATTAAGGAAACTGACCAAGCGCTCTCTAGCTGCTTTCTCATTTCATGTTCTTCACAAAATCCTCCCCTTTCTGGATGGAGGCTTTCAGATCGGGGATCACCTCAGTGATCATCTTCTTGAAAGAGATCTTGCCGATGCTCAGATTCTTCACAATGCCCTTCCCCCCAGCACTAACGGTGTGGAGAAATAGTGCAGTCTGTCTCCTGGGACTTGACAAGGGAGCACTCAGCAACTCCTTCCTTTCTGTTCATGGCATCCATGAGGGAGAAGACAAACCAGGCGCCGGCATATGCCATGGACAGCATAGTGGACCCTGCTCCGGCGTTAGCCTTCACCACCTCGGTGCCCACCTGCTGGATGCACCCAGTCAGGGTGGTCAGCTGGTCCTGGGGAAAGTCCACCTTGGGAGTGCACTGAGAGATCAGGGGGATGATGATCTTCCCAGCATGGCCACCAATCACAGGGATGTCGACTTGAGAGCTAGATCCAAACCCTTCAGTTCTGCAACAAAAGTTTTTGCCCTGACAATATCCAGAGTGGTCACACCGAAGATCTTATTGGGATTGTACACGCCGTGTTTCTTGAAAACTTCTGTGATCCAGATGGTGGAGTTAACCGGATTTGCAATGATGCAGATCATGGCTTCAGGGCAATGCTGGGCACAGGCAGCAGCCAGGGTGGCCACGATTGTGGCGCTGGTGTTGGACAGGTCATCCCGCATCATGCCTGGCTTTCTTGGGAATCCTTCAGGAATAACCACCATATTGCAGCCCTTCAGGCAGTCTGGCAGCTGTTCAGGCTCAAGCTACCCTTTCACATGCGCTCTGGTCTCAATGGGGCTGAGATCAGCAGCTACTCCAGGCATGTGAGCAATATTGTAGAGGGTCAGGCAGCTCACCAGGGAGCGAGAGGCTGCCCAGTTCCTCCAGAAGCCCCCAGGATGGCTACTTTAGCATCATTCTGGGTGGATCTGCTCCCTGTCCTGGCCCTGCCCACAGGTGCTGCCCTCCGCTGCAGCTTCAGCACCTCCGCCCAGAACAATGTTTTCATTTTTTTGACTGCTGGTACCAAGGATGTTGATTGTGGATCCAAGTTAGATGAAATTTTGACAACTTCAGTCTTTTCTCCATTTACTATGATATTGCCTGTTGACACGGTGGTGAGGATTTTGTTTTTTCTCGTGTCCCATCGAATTGGATCTGACTGGTACAGGAGACTGCTCCTCCTTCCCCAGCAAAGCATCTGATGGATTCGGTCCACGCACCTTCAGTATTGCAGCGTAGCTTCTTGCCACTAGGCAACCAGAGCTCTCTTGATTTTGTGTTTTCTTGATGTTGAGATGCAATCCATATTTAAGGCTATAGTACTTGATCTCTGGCAAGACCTCCTTATGTTCAGTGACCAAGATTATGTCATCACCATAATGCAGGTTGTTAAGAGTCTTCCTTTGCTCCGGATGCCACATATTCCTCCTCATAAAGTCTAGCTTGTTGAATGATCTGCTCAGTATACAGATGGAATAGGTATGGGAAAATTATACAACCCTGATGCACCCGTTTCCTGATTTTAAACCATACAGTTTTTTTCTTGCTCTTTTCTGACAGCAGCTTCTTAGTCTAGATATAGGTTTCACATAAGCACAATTAAGTGTTCTGGGATTCCCATTCACAATGTTGTTGTTGTGTTGTTGTTAAGTGCCATCGAATCGCAGGCGACTCATAGCGACCCTATGAAGGAGAGTCCTTGACGCTTGGGGTGCCTTTCATCCTCTCTCCAAGTTCATAGGGTTTCCAGAGGCAAGCTATTATGGAAGTGGAGGCCACTCCTCCTTCCACACTTGTTTAATCCGGGAGCTCCACCCCACTCTCAGTCCGCACTGGGTAGCCAACCATTAACGCATTTGACACATCCGTGTCACAGAGACCGCCACAACACAACACAACTCCCCCATACACAGCACCATCCTCTCTGGCCAAAGGATCACAGGCACCTGGGTGGAGCAAACCTGGGCGATTATGGCCGTCTCCTCCCTCCTCTTCTTTTAAATTGTGCATGTGAGAAAGATTTTTAAAAGGTAAAAATGGTAAATTTCATCTTTGACTATATTTTGCCAAAGGAGGGAGGGAAAGAATTACTAAGACACTTCGGAGTGGAGGAGTCTCAAACATTATGCTAAGTGAAAGAAGCTAGATACAAAAAGCCACCTATGGTCTCATCTGTATGAAATATTCAAAACAGGCAAATCCATAGAGAAGAGAGCAGTTATCAGAGGCTGGAAGAAATTCTGATTTGGGGCCCATTTTTTTTAAGTGATCTAACAGAATGTGGAAATTACTAAATATCATTAAAATCACATGCAAGTTAAATCTTGCTGGAGATTTTTCTAAGTTGGCTAGCGCAGTATATCCACAGGGAACTGCCAGGAATTCAAGTTGGGTTCAAAGAGGTTGTAAAACTAGGGATATCATTGCTGATGTCCAATGGATCATGACTGAATGCAGAGAATATTAAGATGCTTATTTGTATTTTATTGACTATATAGGCATCTATGTTGATCATAATAAATTATGGGTAATATTGAGAAAAATTATAATAGACCAAGAATTAGTCATTTGAACAGAACAAGGGGATACTGCATGGCTTAAAATCAGGAAAACTATGCACCAGGATTCCGTCATCTCACATTTATCCAATCTGTATGCTGAGCAAAT